GCCATAAACGATTTACGTACTCGGGATTATTTTTATCAAAGCACCGCAGTCATTTACGCGCGTTTTGATTGGTTTGTCGTATTTTCACACATAACAAGCATCCATAGGGGGGCGAGTCTTCTTGGAGGTTACGGAAAGGGGCGAGTGGTGACGAATGGCGCCAATATGAAATCCTTCCAGAGGGGCACAAGTCGCTATTCGGCTTGTCCCGGAATAACACGAGTTGGTCACAAATGATTGTGGCGGGTGCTTTAGAAGAAAGGAGTGAGTGAGTGAGTATGGTTTTGCGCCGCTTTTAGCAATATTCCAGCAATATCACGGCGGAGAAGAAAGGAATCCACGTAAACATCAAAACAACCATTATGGTGAGACACTCAATATCAAACATTAAATACTGAGAAGTACACTCTTCTCGACATTTATAACAACTGATAATAGTGAAGATCTTCAAGCTGATGGCAAGGCCAAAAACAGGTTTAAAAGTGCATGTCGAGTGCAAAGAAAACAGCATGAAGAAAACAAAATTAACGATGTATGTGATAAAGTTAACTCTGTCAAAGATATGTGAAAGAAAATAACAAGTTTAACTAGAAAATCTGCAAGTATGCCAAATATTACAACAGATGAGCGGATCGAACATTTTCGGAGTATACTTGTTAACAGTCAGTTATATATCGACAAGGACTTTACAAGACATGGTGGAGAAGATCTTGAAGTTTTGGAGGATAGCGAAGAATATGTTGATGAACTGGACAATGTAATAACTGAGTCTGAGATTTTAGAAGCGCTTCATAAGTTCAGGAATCAAAAGGCACCTGATCCAGATGGTATTGTCATTGAGTGAGTGAGTGAGTGAGTTTAGTTTTACGCCGCACTCAGCTATATCCCAGCTATATGACGGCGGTCTGTAAATAATCGAGTCTGGACCAGACAATCCAGTTATCAACAGCATGAACATCGTACTGAGCATTCGGGATACGATTACATGTGTCAACCAAGTCAGCGAGTCTGACCACCCGATCCCGTTAGTCGCCTCTTACGACAAGCATAGTCGCTTTTTTGTGGAAAGCATGGGTTGCTGAAGACCTATTCTACCCCGTATCTTCACGGGTCGTATTGTCATTGAAATGATCAAGAACTCTATTCATTACATCATGCTTTACTTATTAGCCAGATACAATAAGGTTTTAGACTCTGGACATTTTCCACAAGTTTGGAGTGGTGACCTACAACTATAGAGGAATTTGTTTTCTAAATGTTTTAGGGAAACTATTTACAAAGATACTATATCAAAGGATGACAAATTTGGCGGAATTAAACTGCAAACTACATGAGGAACAAGCAGGTTACAGAAGTGGACATTCAAGTACAGACAACATTTTCATCTTACAATCCACTGTACAGAAGTATCTTTCCAAGAAAAAAAAAAAGCAGAATATATGTAGTCTTCATATATTTCTCTAAGGCCTTCGACTCGGTGAAGCGTTTACTTTTAATGTATGTTCTTAAGAAGAATGGAATAACTGGAAAGATATTTAACACCCTCAAATCAATGTGAGTGAGTGAGTGAGTTGAAATTTATCGTCATATCGGCAATATTTCAGTCATATCGTGACGAGAACAATTAAATGTTATACATAGAATTTAAACACCTGTCAACGAAGGACAGTAAAAGAACTAGAATATCACAGAAATGACAAGACTTTATGGATGATCAATTGCAACTTCTTTAAAATAAAGTTGATCATCCATAAAGTCTTGTCATCTCTATACCACCAACTTCTAGAATGTCACTCAAACAAATAGAATATCACAGATATAAATTTAAAACTAGTAATACAAATCTAAAACGGTTTAACTATAGATGACAGTACAATATAAACACAGGCTATAGACTGCCAACAACTGAAGGTAGATCACCATACTAGGGTCAAATCAATGTACTCAAAACGTAGAGGTGAGTGTAAATGGGCTTTAACCATACAGTCACAGTATTGGCAATCTAACATCAACGATAATCACAAGCTTGAATTATATTGCCAACTGAAATGCTTACTGCAACCTGTAAAATATTTGTTAAATGTCAAAAATCATCATTTGAAGATATATATATATATATATATATATGTATATATATATATATATATATATATATATATAGTGATATTAAAGAATATTAGTGAGATGTTAGTGAGAGTAAATATTAGTGAGAATAAAGAACGAAACATGTTGGAGAAAAAGGCATTCTGTTTTTATTTATCTATGCAATATTTATGACTGAACACCTGTACTATTTTAGACATTTTGTGCGTATATATATATACAATCAAACACACGTATATATATATATATATATATATATATATATATATATACGCAAAATGCGATGCGGAAACCATAATATGAGGATATAACAGTAGGATGGGATAAAACACCGTAAGAGGAGCGTTTTTGTGAATACTGTAGAACAAATACAAAGGATGACAAGCATTTTATATTAAGGAATGGTTTACAGGCTCTCGTGGATATCTGCTACGCATACAAGTGGAGATTCAAATTTAGCGTCAAGAAGAGTACTGTCGTCGTTTTCAACGAGAACATGACGTCATACGAACGCTCAGAGCGCAGATGGTCTCTTGGTGCTCAGGATGTCAAGGAAGACAGCAGCTACACGCATTTGGGAATCAAGGTCAACAAGACATCCGACACCTCACAGCAAATCAACGCTATCTGCAGAAAACTTAAAGCAACGTTTTTTAGCACAACAAACATTGGAGCCTTTGATGGTGAAATGCATCCTTTAACCTCTGCTATTGTGTATAAATCTGTTGTTCTCCAGCGGGCCCTCTACGGATCTGAGACTCTCTACAATCTCTCCCGGCAACACACCCTCCAGCTGGAACGAGCACACAGATTTTGTCTGAAGCTGATTCAAGGCTTGCCAGTGCGTTCAAGGACTGATGTTGTTTTGTCCATGATTGGAATCCTACCCATCTCCTCCTTGATCGCCATCAGAAAGATGAGTTTGCTAGGAAGAATAATCAACTGTACAGTAAACTGCACAGCAAGATCCGTCCTCCTCTTCAGACTACACAGATTCTTCCTCTATAGGCATAAACCTTTCCTTGGTTACATTCCTGAAGTCTTCAAGCTTCTGGTGTTTTATGATTGCATTGACTATATCAATAACGTCAGCTTAACTACATTTCCCGTCAACCAGAATTGGAAAACAATTGTGAAAAGCAAAGTTACTGAGCTTGAAACAACACTGCTCGAGCAGAGGACCTCAAGCGATGTAGAACTCTCCCTGTTCCATTATCTGCATCAATCTTACAAACCTTCCAAGCTCTGGACTCTGGGACGACAGATCCCTCATCTACAGCGTGCACTCAAAGGTGTTGTGAATATGATTGCTACACCAGTTAGACCAGGTAACTGCCAGCTATGCTCGGCAGTCTATAAATGCCTGCCTCATCACCTGTTGCATGAATGCCCTGACCAGCGTGTTTGCGACAACCGAGAGACTCTGTGGCTCTCCATCTTGGACACGTTTCGCAAAGACGCGTATGTCATGTTGGACTCCATGGAACTCGATGAACAAACAAGAACTCTGCTTGGGAGACACTCCTTCGATACTGAGGATCTTAAACTGCTACCCCCTGTGGGACTATTCTTCCTCTCCAGTGGACTCATTTGTCGTAACACTTAACTAACTCTTCTCTACTGTTCAATTGTAAATCTCCAAGTTTGGAGGAGCTAAAGACACTCACTCACTCACTCAGTATACATTATTGTTTTATCAATATATATGCACTACTGTTATAATGAATAAACATTCATATTAACAACATGAGAAGACCCGTATTTCTTTCTTCTGTTGCAGCAACAGTATACTGGATCTTAAATCATACAATCATTACGGAATAAGACATTATATACCTGATAAACTAAAAAGACATATTACACTATTTCTGTCCTGTTATGTTCATCGGTAGAGGTACCAAGGGATATTTCTGGCCCCATCTCGACTTCGACGTCAACCAAAGCTTGTGGAAAGAAGTGATCCAATATGGCGGCTGTCAAGCAATCCCCAATGATGTTTACGACTGTGCGCACCCGGCCCCTGTAGAGTAGATGATGCTTGAAATTAGGGTCTGTAAATCTGTAGTAAATGCTGTTATTTCAGTATAAAATGTGTTTCTGAAGAATGCGTTAGGGTTCTTGACGATTCTTCTATCTAAAGTATTTTGAACATTATTTTCAAATATTATGAATTCTAGAGACTCTCGTGCGTAAGATATTGTTTACTTCGGAAAACACCTCCTCGGGATATTCCTTTCTCAGAAGAAACCTGTCATTTAGGTATTGCTCTAATAACAGCAAGATTTGTATATTTTGTACTTGTGCAAAATATTTTGTGTTTTGCACGTCACGCCGAAGACCCGGGTTCGATTCCCCACATGGGTACAATGTGTGAAGCCCATTTCTGGTCTCCCCCCGCCGTGATATTGCTGGAACATTGCTAAAAGCGGCGTAAAACTAAACTCAGTCAGTCAGTCCTCTTTCAAGTGATCACCTTTTGAGTTAACTTTCCTGAGATTTCCTTCCCGTATAACAGCAGTACACATCTTGTTACCTTTCCAGGAATTCTTTCATATGGATGCCTGCACCTCATTTGTTTGTTTCAGTCACTGCTTGAAGTACTCAAATCAACCCTAATTTAAGTTACGACCAAAAGAAACCTTTCTATAATCGTTTTACATCAATCTAGGTTAAAACCATAAAATATAGAGGCATGAGGTCAATTGTATGGACAAGATCAAATGATGTCACGTGGCAGCTGTGGAAATGATATGACAATTGGACGAAGAGTGTCATCATCAATGTAACGCTGAGCTGTCACATTTTCGTTAACCAATGTTGTTCACTCCAATGGTGAAAAAAAAAAGAAGGACTGATTACATCCTTTTTTCATTTCGTTAGCTCCATAAACGAATGATTTAGGAGGTATAGATCAGGGAGGGGCCTGGGCTGTATGATACGTACAAGAACCAATCCACCGCCAGCAGGATAGAGATGCTCTCAATTGGCAGACCGACAGAAGACAGGATGACCATCAATGTCACAATAGCAGCGTTTGGAATTCCTGCAGCACCCACACTTGTCAACACTGTACACAGACTGAAACAATCGCCGTTATACCCAGTTTTGTTGAGCTAGTGAATGGTATTTTACATATCTTGAGCATTTCACTAAATATGAATGTTAAAAAAAATTACAACAAAGAAACCATATATTTCAAAACCTACATAGTGGCAACCGCATCTTTTATCAGTGACACACACTTATATTCTAGCTGTATACCCGTATATGGGCTTCACACATTGTACCCATGTGGGGAATCGACCCCGGGTCTTCGGCGTGACGAGCAGACGCTTTAACCACTAGGCTACCGCCCCTGACTAGTGAAAGAGTAAAGAGCCAAACCATCGGTATGGGATGAAACACAGTGAATCCAATTAACCACCCGAAGTCTCCTCGAGCATTTAGTATGTGGGTTGATGGTTTCCTATTCTAATCCGGAGAGATAACACGATACAATAAATGCTTTTCAACGAACAATGTCTTCTGTGTTGATTAACTCATGAATGAACTATGCCTCCTGCGGGTACTCTTCAGCAACAGGGGTGTTCCCACTTTCATCGTAGGGATGGGGAAGCACGACCCTGTGTGCACTGAACCATTAATTAATGTGTCTCACAACTGGGAGTTCTCACAAATGGCAGGACACCCGAATTGTGACTATGATTATGTAATCCTGAAAGTACATTAATCTTTTTTCGCGGATGTAAAATGAAATTTAATAAAGAGCTGAAAATTTTCATTATAGAGCCTCTAAATATTTTTGGAATTAGATGAAAAAACATTAATGTCAAATCTATTTGAGGTAAAAATCACACACAAAAAGATCACCATTTGCACCAAATATATCGAAATATTTTCAGGATTTTCCGAACAAAGTCCTTCAAATATGCAGAAAGACCAAAACGCCGGTTGCTGCAGATTGATGAATCTTGGAAGGTGCTTTAAACCTTTACTTTGAATCATTTATCTGTTCGGGAAACCAAGGGGAACAACACTGTATCTGTTATCAAGGTTCCGGGTCGTTTCACCCGGGTTGTTTCATCCGAATTCCAAACTGGTTCAATTCATCCCATTAGGGGGTCGTTTCACCCCTAATCATATTCCATTTTAACTCCGAAATCGAAACTTAATTTGAAATGGTATAGTTTAGCAGTAAATAATCCTTTACATTTTGCACATCGTTCCATAGGCAAATTGTAGTTCATATGCATACGGCCACTGGTGCGTACTTTAAAAGATTATGCTGTGTTTACATAACTCAGTTCTCAAAATGATTACATGCCATGTACGTGTTAAGATTACAAATACTATATGTATATGGAAATAATAATAACAATTTAATTTCAAGCCATAGATATGTGTATGTTTCACTTATTTCCTATTTTACCTTAGAAGAATCATCTCAAAGAAATGCAGGGATATCGCATGCATCTGGGCGACGTAGATTGCTGATACCACATAAAAGATTGCCGTACCATCCATGTTGATCGTTGCCCCAAGAGGTAGTACGAAGCGAGTGATGGCATTGTTCATCTTCAGGTTCTCTTCGCAGCATCGGATAGTTACTGGCAGTGTGGCAGAGCTGAATGTGAAACAAAATAAAGTTTACTGGTTGTTGTTTAACTCTACACTCAGTAATGTTCCAGTGATATAACAGCGGTCAGTACATAATTGAGTCTGGACCAGACAGTCCAGTGATTGACATAATGAGCATCGATCTACGATGACATGTATCAACCAGGAACAGCGAGCTTGTTCCAGTGATATGACAGCGGTCAGCACATAATTGAGTCTGGACCAGACAGTCCAGTGACTGACTACATGAGCATCGATCTACGATGACATGTATCAACCAGGTCAGCGAGCTTGACCACCTGATCCGGTACGTTACACCTTACGATAGGCATTATGGGTTACTGAAGATCAATTCTAACCAGAATCTTCACGAGTGAAACAAGATAAGGACCATGGGATATACCTATAGGCAGATATGGTCAGGGGTCAGTATTCGGTGGAAATTCTGCAGTAAATATCAGTTATAATTATCAGTTTGTAAACGCAAAGCTCATGTTAATGTAGTTACTGTAAATGTCATTGCGTGTCATATAGACTCAGCCTACTAAACCTACATATTATGATAGAAAAGAACAACAATTATTCAAATACTTAAATTTGAAAGAAGGCCTAATGAGAAGGGAGAGAAAATATCTGAACTTGCTTCATTTGAGCTTCTGTATTGATAGGATAGTGTTGCTTCAAAGGGAAAATAATGAGGGACTGCGAGACAGACTAAACAACATAGCCTTAGTTATTTACCTGGAAGCAATTGCAAGAGCCGTGACGATCGCCTGTGTTACTCCTCTGATGATTCTGAACGGGTTCTTCTTAGTTAAAGCAAAATACAACAGAGGTAAGAGTATCAGAACATGGAAACTGGCGCCAGCAATGATGGTTGTTAAATAGATGGCGAGCTGTTGGGCCGTGCTTGTCAGATCCTCCACGGATAACACCTTCCCTATTATCAGAAACATTATCCCCACTGGTGAATACCTGCAACATATATCATAGAAATTACGTTGACACAGTTAAAGCAGAAACTCGGGTAAATTAAGCTTGCCAACCTTCACTAGCTTTCTAACATGTTTTTCAGAAGAACTGATAAAATGAAGAACTAAAAGGTATGGTTAGCTTTTAATGCGAAAAGATTCTTTTTAGCACTATTGTTCAATTCGGAAACAATATAAGAAGATGGTGATACGATCAGGAGCTTGATAAATAACAATCACAGCAATTTGTATTTAGTTTCAATATTTTTGCTACCAAAGGTGTTCACTTCAAGGTGTCGTAGACAAATTCATTTGGGTGTCTTGTATACCCGACTGTGGACCATTATTAGGACACTCACCACATCACAAGCCACACCATTTGAATGGTTATATCGTTTAGAGTTACGAAGAACTGCAAGACGACCTTTCCCTTGTCTCCAAGTCGACCAAGGATAACTCCAAAAATGACGAAGTAGCTTAATATACCTGTAGGCAAAGTTGTAAACGAATCACGAGAATCATATGAACTATAGCACCCACCTCATTTTTTCAGTAAGGAAACAAGTTGAACATCAATTATTTGTCCTTATTCCACAAGCATATAGTACATTTTAATATAGAAGCCATACACTTACTTAAGTGCATATTTTTTCTGTAACATTACATAACACATAGACTTGGATAGATTTGCTTAGCAAAATGCAATTTCATTTCTATTTGGATGGACATATTTTGTTTGAGGTAACTATTTCTCAATGTTGTAAAACTTGACATACAAGGGGGAACCACACAACTGGCGGATTCTTAGTTCTCATTTTAATATATATTTCCTTTTCCTTTTTTCAAATATCAAGTCAGGTGATGAAATCGAAAACGTGCTTGTTCGTATTAAGAACGAGAGGCTTATTAAATTAAGTTGAAACAGCGTCATGGAAGAACATGGTCACTGTACGCAATCATCTTTAAGTTCAAGAGAAAAAGTCGAGTCACTACTCACTTTTACATTTCAAGGCTATCATTGCATTCTCAGAACCTTTAGTCTGACAGTTAAACAGACACATCGATTACATTAAGTATCCCTACAAAATACCCTGTTTAATCCCTATAATAAAATGGCATTTCTTCAGACATTAACAGGCAGGTTTCAAGGGTCTTTGATAGTCACATACAAAAGTTGCAAATGGTTCGCAGCCAGATGGGATCATGTTTTGTTTTGTAAAAGATTATACCTTACTGTTATGCTGTACAAACATGTCGTCTTGTTGATGGTATTATATTTATCAATGATTTGTTACAGTTGAAAATGACCAACTGAGTATTATGTATCATACCTAACGCGTTCATCCCTGGCCTGTAGACGGACGTCGGTGTCCATGCTTGAACTTCTTTGACATCTGTATCATTATTGCTGGAGTTTTTTCCACTGAAGAAATTTTGTTCATTTTGTATAGCAGTTTGTTTGTCCATCTTCACGTACACGGTGCCACTCATTACAAATGTTGCTTGAACTATGTTATCAGGGAAGATATTCCTTGAACAGAAAAAAATATATTGTTAATTTGTTGTCACAATGTTCCACTTTATCAAATGTTACATTAGGGGTAAGTAATGGGTGTAATATTTGTGTTGTTGTTGTTGAAAGGTTTACTTAATAAACACAAAAACCGCAAACATTTCTCAGTAGAAATTGAACAACACTGTCATTCGCTGGAAGGAACGTCACTGATCTGAGGGCATTTATTAGTTACTAGTTTAGAATTGGTCCCCGGCAATATATGCATGTCGTGAGTTGTTGCTCATAATGTTAATCACATGGATGTCTGGCCCAGAATCGATATTTTCAGAGCGCCGTCATATGGCTTGAATATTAAACTAATATACATGTATGTCAGCAATTCTTTGGCATTAACGAAACGAACATATTGAACACACACATATACTCCATAATTGTTAGCCATCTCCTACCCGGCCTGGTACAGTTACAGTCGATGTAAGGATGCTGTAATCAGTCCGGGAGTAAGGGATTTGGTTTCAACGCTGTTTTCAACCACTATATTAGTTATATCACTGTGTAACAGCTTCACGTGGGAGAAAGTCCGTGGGAAACAGTTTGCCACATTCTAAGACTGGACATTCTAAATTCTGATATTGTGCTGAACAATTAAGCAACCGATAAGGTCAAATGGGGGTGGAAGCACAATCAGAGGATCCTGGCATCCCTTAGAGGCGCAACATTTTAAAGTACATTCCAGCACAAGGAAACTGATGCTTTGATTTAAGCAGCATTTTGAGACAAAAATCAGTTTCCCAAAATGTGTCAAATATTTCACTTTTCAGGAAATACCAACACTATCATTTTCCACAACGAACACAATTTCATCCAGGTTGTTCACTTATAGGAATGCGTTGCAGAACGTGGACTTGGCAGAACACATGGCTGAAGACTCATTGTTTTTCTACAGACAGGTAAGACATAACTATAATCACAGGTGACTTCTAGATTGTTGACAGCACAACCTTCGTCAACTATTCAAATATGGGTCTAAATATTGTTAACAGTATACTACCAGTTGGGATTACAACTTTAAAATCATTATGAACGCTGCCATAGCATGTCCCAGAATATGGGCTAAAAGAGAGGAGGAACCGGTAAAATGTGTTTCGGAGTGGGTAAATCAGTGAGTGAGTTTAGTTTAGTTTAGTCTGGACCAGACAATCCATTTACGCAAACAGTAGATTGTGACAGCAATGTAAAAAAATACACACACTGCGCAGGGGATCATCTTACTTTAAAGACTGTCCTGATTGCAAATGACAATCAAGAAGATAAAGTTCACGCAAAACATTAGTTTTGCAGATGCAAAAGAACTTGTCCAAAGTTCAGAACATTCAGAAATTTATGCTTCCATTACCAGAACAACATCAGAAGCAACCTCTAGAGTAACTAAAGTATCTGCAGGCTGTCAGACAAACTGGCATTTATATGAAACTCTGTGTTGTAACAGACTTAAACCTCAACATTTTACATAAGTTACTGATGCCATAAAAAAAAATTATCTGATGCACTCAATAATATAGCTGATGAGTGTATCCCAAAATCCTCTGCAATGCCACACATCCGAAAACCATGATTCACCAATGAGTGCAAACAGGCTAGGAAGGCACTGAAGAAGGCTGAGAATTATTTCCGTCGCCATCCTATGGTCCATAATTTAGACAAATTTAGGGTTATAAACGCCAATGCATGGCGTACTTTCAAGCAAAGTAAACACCAATCTTGGCGTAACTATGTATCAAAAATCAATTCGCGCATGCCGATATCAAAGGTATGCAACGTGATCCAGAAAATCAAAGGTATGGGCAATAAATCTAGTATTCACCATCTGAAAGACGGAAACCAATTATTGACTAATAAACGAGATATTGCAAATAAACTTGGTGAGACGTTGGCTATCTATTACTTTCAATTCAGATAATGGGGAAGATTACAACGAAACTGTTTTCCATACATGAGCTTCATGCTGCTCTTGACCAGGCTCACGATACTTCTTCATGAGCTGATGGTATACATTATCAACTCAACTCCTGAAGCACTTACTAGAATCATGTTTAGAGACGCTCTTACATATTTTTGATGGCATTTGGACATCTGGAAGTTTCCTTCAACGTGGCGTGATGCTATAATTGTTCCCATCACTAAACCTGGACATGATCATACTGATTCTTCTAACTATAGACCAATTTCCCTAACCAACTTTGTGTACAAGACCATGGGACGCATGCTAAATAATCGACTTGTTTGGTACTTGGAAACTAATAACCTTTTAACAGATATACAATCTGGTTTCCGTAAAACACAGATGTACCATCGATCATTTAGCGCGTTTAGAATCTTTTGTTTAAAATGCCATAATTAATCAACAAAATGCAGTGTCGGTCGTTTTCGATCTAGAAAAAGCATACAACCCTACATGGAAACATGGTATTTAAAAAGATTGACATGACTTTGGATTACGAGGCCGTTTGCCTCAATTTATATCCAACTTTTTAAATGATAGACAATTTCAAGTCTGCGTGGGTTACACCCTGCCTGAACATTATAATCAGGATCAGAGTGTCCCACAAGGCAATGTTTTGTCTGTCACATTGTTTAGTATCAAGATCAACAGTTTATCAGTTTTATTAAATGATTCAATCGTTGGATCACCTTTTGTAGATGATTTTAATATTTCTTGTTGCTGAAAACTACGCATACTATTGAACGGCAACTGCAGTTGTATTTAAATAAAATCAATAAATGGTGTCTTGAAAACGGCTTTAAATTTTCTAAATCAAAACCAAATTGTATACATTTCCGCCGCAAATACAAACCGCATAAAGACCCTGAACTAACATTAAATGGCACCCCCAACAAAGTTGTAAAGGAGTCCCAAGTTCTCGGGTCTTATGTTCGACTCCCATTCAACGTTTTTGCCACATATTAAATCCCTTAAAGTTAAATGCCCGGAGGCACTTGATCTGTTAAAAGTCATTTCAAATTCTAATTGGGAAGGGGATCAAACTACGCTTCTACTCCTATATAGATCACTTATCCGGTCCAAATTTGAATATGGCTCCATTGTATATGGTTCAGCCTGCAAAAGCAACCTTAAACTATTAGATTCTGTCCATCACCAAGGTCTAAGACTTTGCCTTGGATCCTTTCGAACTTCACCTGTTGACAGTCTCTACGTCGAGGCCGATGAACCTCCTCCAAAACCTCCGTATCCTCCTTGCAGTTTGTTACAAAACTGTTTCAGTGAGTCCAACCCTGCAAACAACTGTGTTTTCAATCCTCTTTACGAGGACCTATCATTATAATAAAAAATCTTCACTTATTCACGAATTAAACCTTTCCTTTTTGCTGCTGGCTGCTTCTCCTCTTTGGCAATTAGTGAGACCACAAGTTGACCTAACACTAACAACATTTAAAACATCCGAAACTAATGAATTACAATATATACAACAATTTCATCAGTTAAAATAAAATGTAATACATATAAATCCTTATTTACAGATAGGTCAAAGTCAAAGTCAAAGATATTTATTGTACTTAAGGCCTCCGGCCGATATACAAGTAATACAAGTATATATACAGCACATGTTACAGACATTACACAAAGAAATTACAGTTCAGATAAGATATTGCTTCTAAGGAAAACAGCATGTTTTACATAAAGCGCAAGATTACGTATTACATTTTCATTTTTGGAGGATAGAATGGAAGCAAAGGCAGATGAAGGATATTTTAACAGGTAATTATTTGGTATATATTTTTTTCTTAAATCAGCATAATGTGGGCATACAAAAGCGAAGTGAATTTCATCTTCTATAGCCGAGTTACATAATGGACATATCCTTAAACGTCTCTCTATTGAAAATCGTCTGCCCTTATTTACTGATAAGTCTAACAAGCCCAATCGAAAATTGACAAGTGTGCGTCTGATATTTCTAGATGTCAATACAGTTAGATATAGTTCTGGTTGAATTAAGCTCTTATGTGATCTATACAACTGGTATCTTGAACTATTGTCTAGACAGGAATGCCATTCTTGATAATACATGCTAACAGATTGTTCTCGAAATTGCTTAAGAAATAGATTAATATTACCAACTGTTTGATTTACCACAGCCACACAAATCCAAAGCCATGAGAAAATAAAAGAGTTCTAATATGAGACGCCCATGTTGTCTTACCCCTATCATCTAAATGTACAAGCATGTTATAAGCTAGTTTGGGGATTCTTTGTTCGTGCATTCCAAGGATCTTTAACCAATATTTTAAACATCTGATTTGTGAATTTATATATATCGGATATCTACCGCATTCTCCATAAACCATACAAGTTGGTGCTGCTCGCGCTACATTTAAAAATCTTTTACATGCTAGAAGGTGTAGTTTTTCTAGACATTCATGACGTTGAAATCCCCAAATTTCAGACCCATAAAGCATAATCGGTTGGATTTGTGCATCAAACAATTTAAAATATATTTTCGTGGTTAAAATTCCAAAATTCTGGGAAACCGACATAACATTAATAAGAGCCTTCTTAGCACGTGATTTCAGGTCTATAACACTCTTTTTAAAGTTCATGGTATGGGAAAACAATAGTCCGAGATAGGTATACTAATTAACAATAGATACATTTTTGCCACTCAAAAAACATTTTTCTTTAGAGGCGATAGGCCCACCTCTTCTAAAGATAACTATGTTTGGTTTTGTAGACCGACGATAGTATCTGACACTAAAATTACATCATCGGCCAAAAGGAGGATAAAAATTTCAATCTTATCTGGAAACATTTGCACACCATGTTTACCTGCATTGGAAATATCATAATACAGTTCGCTTATAAAGAAGGAAAACAATACAGGGCTTAAAATACACCCTTGCCGAACTCCCATGGGACAGTCGAAAAAATCGGTGACATCATCACCACAACGAACACATGATTTAATATTCAAGTACATAGACTTTAAAATAGAATACATTTTCCCTTGTAAACCAGACTTTCGTAAGCAGTGCCATAATTTACAACGATCCACAGAGTCAAAAGCTTTCTTAAAGTCAACAAATGCTACATAAAGTTTGTGTTTATTACGCGATAGACACTTTTGTATTATTGCATATAGTGTAAAGATATGGTCAGTAGTTGAATAATCTTTTCTAAAAGCCGCCTGACATTCAGGAATTAAGTTTCTTAGATTTGACCAGTTTGAGATTCTGTTGTTTAAAACAGTTGTAAATATTTTCCCAATAACACTCAGTAAAGATATGCCTCTATAATTATCTGGATTGTCTTGAGCCCCCTTTTTATGTATAGGGACGATAATTGAACGAGACCAGCTTTCTGGAAACGAACCACTTTCAAATACAGTATTAAAACACTTATGGAGGAAGGGCATTAACTCGATTTGAGAACATTTAATCATTTCGATTATAATATTGTCGGGACCAGCTGCTTTTCCGCTCTTTAAGTTATTTATAGCATTCTTTATCTCATCTACTGAAATTTGTGTTTCCAAAATCATTTGATCAACAGTGTCATAGTCATTCGAAGAGATAATATCATCATCGAAGGAATAACCATCGCTTGGAAAAACAGCATCATTAGAAAAAACTGTCTTGAAATGTGTCATCCATTCACATTTTGAAATATTACTTTTAGGATTTGATCTCTTTCTAAATGAACGAATTTGTTTCCAGAACATAGCAGGATTGTGGATAGAATCATTCAATCTGTTCAATCTTTGATTACGCAGGTTAGATTTGAATTTTCTACATGAAGCTTTGTATTTGTTTCTCATTTTACAAAAATAATTTCTGTTGCTCTCGAGCGTCTACACCGAAAACGTCTAAGTGTTTTGCGCGCGTCTCGTCGCGCAGATTTACACTCGTCACTTAAGGGTGTTTTGCTTAAACGGCTTAGTCTTTTTCTTCATACAATCTGCTGAATCTAATATGACATGGACAAACCCATCAAAAGCTCCGTTTAGATCGAACTCAAGTTTCGATAAGAGAAGGTCATTATAAAATGAAGTCTTACTTTTCAAATTATCTAAAAATATTTCGCAACAGGCGTCGTTCCAAACAATCTTTTCTTTATAATCATCAATATGGTTTTTATCACTTGAGTTGTTCATATTTGGAAATAGACAAGTCCGTTCTAATGGTAAATGATCAGAGTCTACTCTGTCTCCAATATTCAACAAGTTAATAAATTGGAAGAAGTCTGGTGAACCAATAAAATAGTCATTGACACTTGATCCCTGTTGCCCATGAAACGTATATTCGCCTTGCGAGTCTCCATACACTCTACCGTTCGCTATGAACAGGTTGAAGGTATAGCATAAATCTAATAACAGATTACCAAAATTATTAACAACAGTGTCGTGAGAATAACGACCATCAATAGGATAGTTGTCATCATCAGCGCTCGCTTGGAATATATGATTCCTATTATCATCATCAAGACTAGGAGACACATTGTTCTGTTTACCTGTACGGGCATTCAGATCACAACAGATAACAGTGTGGCATTCAGCAAAGTCATGGAGATTCGCTAGCAGATATTGCTCCAGTTGTTCAATATTACATTTGTGATTCAAGGATGGTGGTGCAGTGGCGTGTGCCACTGCCATTGGATACAGAACAATATCTGATAGAATACCAGATAACAGCTCTATTTTTACAGCAGAATTATAATAATAGACTATTTATATAGCGCATATATCCATGTCAGTGACATGCTCAAAGCGCACCAAAAAAAAAGAGTTCCGGAGTCATTATATACAAGACTAACTGACTGACTGAGTTTGGTTTTACGCCGCTTTTAGCAATATTCCAGCAACATCACGGCGGGGGACACCAGAAATGGGCTTCACACATTGTACCCATGCGGGGATTCGAACCCGGGTCTTCGGCGTGACGAGCCAACGCTTTAACCACTAGGCTACCCCACCGCCCCCTATATACAACAGAGTCAAAGAAGAGATTATTGGGAGTCTAATTTGTAGAGGTATGTCTTGAGCTGGCTCCTGAACGAGGAGAGATCAGTGCAGAGGCGGAGATGCTCAGGAAGATTGTTCCATTCTACAGCAGCTGAGTAGGAGACGGTTCTGCGTCCATGTAGAGTTGATCGTACTTTCGGGACTACGATGAGATTTTTACTGCAGAGATCGAGAAGGCAAATATGGAGTGAGGATACTTGAGAGGTAGACCGGAGCAGCAGAGCCAGAGAGACAACGGAACACAATGCGTAAGACTTTGAAGAGAATTCGTTCTTCAGCTGGTAGCCAATGGAGTGATTGAAGAACAGGGGTGGTGTGTTCGTACTTCCTTGTTCGTGTGACAACGCTGTGTTGTGAACTCACTGCAAACGCTGTAGCTGAGATTTGGTGACACCAATCAATAGATTGTTGCAGTAGTCTAATTTCAAGACAACAAGAGATAGTTTAAGAGTAGCTGCTGAGTTTCTAGTGAGGTAGCGCCTGATATTTCCAATATTCCCGAGGGACGTGAAGGAGGCCTGCACACTATGAGAGATATTATCATCAAGTGACAGATCAGCATTTATGACGACACCAAGGTCTCTGGCCTTCTCAGAGAAACTGGCAGACGATCCATCAAACTGAAAAGAACTGACCTCACACTGACTTCTGTGCTTGGCTTTCCCAACAGAAATTACACTCAGTTTTGGCACTGTTGAGTTATAACTTATTGCTGAGCATCCATTGCTTCACCTCACACAACACAGTAAGTGTAACACTGACCAAGATCTTTAAGAGCAGTAGAAGATTGCACTGGGTCTTGAGGGAAGAATGTGTACACCTGAGAATCGTCGGCATATTGGTGGCGGCCGAGCAGGTGGTTTTCGATGATGGATCCCTGTTCCTTGATGTAAAGGGAGAAAAGAACTTGTCCGATGACATGTGAGTTGGATCTTGCGTGAACACTGGCCATTTATGACAACAGACTGACATCAGTCAGTTAAGTAGGACTTGAACCACTTAAGATCGGTTCCCACAATCTGAAAGTCACTCCTGGGTCTGTCGATAAGTCTGGTATCGAACGCCGAGTTAAGGTCTAGCAGCGTCAAAAGGCCAACCTTGTTATAATCGACGCCCAGTCTCAAGTCATTCAAGGCCTGATCAAAGCAGTCTCTGTGCTATGATTGGAGCAATAAGCAGATTAGAAGTTGTCCAAGAGATGGCGTTTGGATAGCCTTTCAGCCACAGTGCTTTCGATCAACTTTGAGGCGAAAGGAAAGTTTGAGACAAGTCTGTAGTTGCCCAGCATGTCAGGATCAAGATGAGACTTCTTTAGTAAAGGTTTGACCACTGCAGATGTGAAGACTGAAGGCATTTCTCCATGTCTGAGGCTGAAATTGACTATGTCAAACGCCATATTAACGGCTCTTAAGTAAATTTAAAGACACCCTAAAAATACACAATATTTTTTTTTCAGACTCTCTTTCCTGTCTTGAGGCTATTAAAAATATTTCTTGTAAACATTCACTCTTAATTGAAATCATTGAATTGTATAATGGTCTTGCTACTGGCCAATACGACATCATCGTCTTTTGTTGGTTACCCAGCCACGTTGGCATTTCTGGGTACACAATGTCCGATGTTGCTGCCAAGGCAGCACTCAACAATCAGTGACACCACTTCTTATTCCATACTTCCATATCTTATATCGATGATCTAATGCAGAAGAAGTGGGACACCCAAGTAAGCATAAATAATTACATGCATACATACTTGGGTTGTCAGTCCAGTTTTGAAGAGGCGTACACGACGATGTCGTATTGGCCATTCAAAAATAAATGTCTTAAAAGGTGAGGATCCTCCATTTTGTATCCCTTGTGATGAAAGAATGTCCTGCTTGACTGTGTTGATTTTTCCATCTCAAGGGATTTGTATTTCAATTTAAAAATTATGAAAGCTTTTAATAATGCATATGTTCATTTAATCATTGAGTTTTGAAAAGAAATTGATTTAACTGATGAATCTGGTATGCATTGTAATTACATGTAGTATGTGAAATTTAATTTGTGAGAATGATTAAATAACTTTGATTGTTAGTGGCTATACCGTCAAAGAGGTTGAAGTAGTGTAAAATCACTGTCCCCCTGAGAAGGTATGTAAGTCCCAGATCATTTAAAGTACTTTTCATTGTCCGTGATTTTAATCGTAGTATATATGTTCTTATAATTTTTGGCTAATTTGTGCAAAAATCACTGGCATCTGAAGGGACGATGTAAATCCAGCTAGGGTCCATGCAGGTCCCCATGGTCTCTAGTATGGTGACCTTCCTTCAGTTGCTGGTGATCTCCAGCCCGTTTATATTGTGTTGTCTATACTATCTGCCTAATTTTAAAAGTTAGTTGTTTGTTTTAATTCACTCACTCACTCACTCACTCACTCGTATGTTTAGGACGGATGCCACCGGTGGGTCAGGATACGCCTAACCTTTTGCGAACACCTGGTATCATCACTATTTGATAGTGATTCCTAAACATATGCTTTGTCATCGTATCTCATTGTCCAGATGCGAAAATTTGTCTTACAGCTGTAATACTTCTGAATGCGGCGTCAAGCAAACAGAATTGTAAATCGACTTTTGGCAGAGGTGTCATATGGATGTGGAAAGGGTTTTGTCGTTTTGTAATTCTTTTAAGATTGTTCTCGTAGTCTCGTATGTCTCTCTCGTTGTTATAGAAACAGCACTAGTAGTAATAATAATAACAATAGTAGTAGTAGTAGTAGTAGTCGTAGCAGTAGGATACCAACCTTACTAAATCCAGGAACACATCTCGAGCAGACTGCGAGGGTGTATCGTCTACAGACTTGACTGTGATGACGTCATTGCTGATCACATGACCTGGCCTGATCAAGATGGCGAGGATGATGCCGACGAGGGTTGCAACCAAGGTGGTGAAGATGTAGTAGCCGGTGGTGATCAGACCGATCTTGCCTGCAGACTTTCCATTAAGGTTTGCTAGCCCTGTCAAACGTAATGGTTAAACATGGTTGTGAGGAATAAAAATGATTAGATGGAAATTGTGGTTGTTGTTTAACGCCGCACTCGGCAATATTCCACCTGCAAATGATCGAGTCTGGACCAGACAACCCAATGATCAACAACATGAGCATGGATGTATGCAATTGGGATACGATGACATGTGATGTGTCAACCAAGACAACAAGCCTGACCTGCCGATCTCGTTAGTCGCCTCTTACGACCGATTACCAGAACATATCTACTACTCACACTTTGCTAAGGATAAAAAAATCATAACTTTACTTAAACGTAGATTCATAATTTGAAATTGTATCCATTTCAAACTGGATAATTAATAATATGGTAACCCCTCTTTAGACAGTCACTTTAATCTAACCTTATGCACTTGATACATGAGTAACCATAAAAATGGTTTTCATGGCACCAATCAACCATTTTGCAAATCATGGAACGAGTCATTGACAAGTACACAACACCTGTTAGTAGCAGATATGGGTTCCACAAAATGAAAGGACGTACTGAAAACTAGAGTCCATGCTTACAATAAGCTTAGATATTTAAACCAAATTTGGCCCCATATCATAGTTTTCTGTTGAATCCATGATTTGATCCTTAGCAAAGTGTGAATAGTATATATTATACATTTCCAGTTTAGAAAGAATAAGATTCTACTATATTAAAATTATAACAAAAACCAACATGAAGCTGATACATGATACAAAAAAAATATGCTACTGAAACAAAATCAAAACACATTTGAGTATTGTCGTTGCTAATGGGGGTAGTGGAGATATAAACAGAATAAAAAAATTGTTTTATTACCAGTAACAAGGCTTGTCACCATCAGGGGCAAAATCAGCATCTTCAACATTCTGAAAAATATCTCTCCAGGAAAAGAGATGAGGGTGACCACTTCAGGAGACGGGTTGAGAGGACGACACAACAGTCCTATTGTAACACCCAGAGTAACGGAAGTGAGGTTTGCTATCAGCAATACGTTCCTTCGAAGACATGCCAGTACCTGAAACATAAGACTTTCGTTAATTCAACGTGTTTGGCTATTAATCTCTTAAAACAAATTTAATTTGTGAGAATGATTAAATAATGCTTTGATTGTTAGTGGCTATACCGTCAAAGAGGTTGAAGTAGTGTAAAATCACTGTCCCCCTGAGAAGGTATGAAGTCCCAAATCATTTAAAGTACTTTTCATTGTCCGTGATTTTAATCGTAGTATATATGTTCTTATAATTTTTTGGCTAATTTGTGCAAAAAATCACTTAGCATCTGAAGGGACGATGTAAAACCAGCTAGGGTCCATGCAGGTCCCCATGGTCCCTAGTATGGTGACCTTCTTTCAGTTGCTGGTGATCTCCAGCCCGTTTATATTGTGTTGTCTATACTGTATCTGCCTAATTTTAAAAGTTAGTTGTTTGTTTTAAGTTACTCCATTCACTCACTCTCCTTCCTCCGCTCACTCACACTCACTCCTCCAATTCCACCGCAGCTCACTCACTCACTCTCACTCACTCCTCTCACTCTCACTCACTCGTATGTTTAGGACGGATGCCACCGGTGGGTCAGGATACCTAACCTTTTGCGAACACCTGGTATCATGACTATTTGATAGTGATTCCTAAACATATGCTTTGTCATCGTATCTCATGGTCCAGATGCGAAGAATTTGTCTTACAGCTGTAATACTTCTGAATGCGGCGTCAAGCAAACAGAATTGTAAAATCGACTTTTGGCAGAGGTGTCTTATGGATGTGGAAAGGGTCTTGTCGTTTTTGTAATTCTTTTAAGATTGTTCTCGTAGTCTCGTATGTCTCTCTCGTTGTTATAGAAACAGCACTAGTAGTAATAATAATAACAATAGTAGTAGTAGTAGTAGTAGGATACCAACCTTACTAAATCCAGGAACACATCTCGAGCAGACTGCGAGGGTGTATCGTCTACAGACTTGACTGTGATGACGTCATTGCTGATCACATGACCTGGCCTGATCAAGATGGCGAGGATGATGCCGACGAGGGGTTGCAAACCAAGGTGGTGAAGATGTAGTAGCCGATGGTGATCAGACCGATCTTGCCTGCAGACTTTCCATTAAGGTTTGCTAGCCCTGTCAAACGTAATGGTTAAACGTGGTTGTGAGGAATAAAAAGGATTAGATGGAAATTGTGGTTGTTGTTTAACGCCGCACTCAGCAATATTCCACCTGTAAATGATCGAGTCTGGACAAGACAATCCAGTGATCAACAGCATGAGCATCGATGTATTTAATTGGGATACGATGACATGTGTCAACCAAGACAACAAGCCTGACCTGCCGATCTCGTTAGTCGCCTCTTACGACCGATTACCAGAACATATATACTACTCACACTTTGCTAAGGATAAAAAATATCATAACTTTACTTAAACGTAGATTCATAATTTGAAATTGTATCCATTTCAAACTGGATAATTGGTAACCCCTCTTTAGACAAACAGTCACTTTAATCTAACCTTATGCACTTGATACATGAGTAACCATAAAAATGGTTTTCATGGCACCAATCAACCATTTTGCAAATCATGGAACGAGTACACAACACCTGTCAGTAGCAGATATGGGTTCCACAAGATGAAAGGACGTACTGAAAACTAGAGTCCATGCTTACAATAAGCTTAGATATTTAAACCAAATTTGGCCCCATATCATAGTTTTCTGTTGAATCCATGATTTGATCCTTAGCAAAGTGTGAATAGTATATATTATACATTTCCAGTTTAGGAAGAATAAGATTCTACTATATTAAAATTATAACAAAAACCAACATGAAGCTGATACATGATACAAAAAAAATATTCTACTGAAACAAAATCAAAACACATTTGAGTATTGTCGTTGCTAATGGGGGTAGTGGAGATATAAACAGAATAAAAAAATTGTTTTATTACCAGTAACAAGGCTTGTCACCATCAGGGGCAAAATCAGCATCTTCAACATTCTGAAAAATATCTCTCCAGGAAAAGAGATGAGGGTGACCACTTCAGGAGACGGGTTGAGAGGACGACACAACAGTCCTATTGTAACACCCAGAGTAACGGAAGTGAGGTTTGCTATCAGCAATACGTTCCTTCGAAGACATGCCAGTACCTGAAACATAAGACTTTCGTTAATTCAACGTGTTTGGCTACACTTAAAATAGCCTTATATTCATCACTAATACTGTGAAAGAAACATTTATACAAACCTTGGCCATTACTCTGTACGTGGTTGTGTTACCTACAGTGGAATTTAATTTAAAGGAACATAATTTGCAATACTCCAAGAAATGATCGCTATTTATCAAACTGTCGCGCATATATACGTTGTACTGTATAATATTACATATATGGTAATCGTTTTTCTATCTATGAACTAACGTATCTACATGTTGAACATATTGTTTGGAAAGCCTAAATACGGTTGCGTGCGCACTGCACAGTCGATGTGGTAAATCAATAACTGGAGATAGGTTCTTTCAGACCAATCGAAACATCACGTACCATGACGACGTAACATCGTCCCAGTGAGTATGTCAACGAATGTCAGTACCATTGCTGGTCCCACGAGTAGTTCCTTTAAGTGTGAATCAACTGAACCTATGTCGCCTTCAGTTGTGGGATACGTGATGGGTTGACCAATAACCAAAGTAACTGCAACAATAGTCCTCGCTATTCAGATTTGTTGTGAACTTGCTGAAGGGGTAAGTCATTAGTAGCGGCTACATGTGAATATGCCAAACATGGTCACAGATTGCAAATCATCTAGCCTGACCATTCATACCTGAACATTGATAGTAACTGGAGTTTACAGGTAAATATGTCAAATTTGATCAGATGAAAAGGTTTCAAACAAACTAACATGATGCATCACCATCAACGACGATTGTCACTGGTGTCGACGGAAGAATATCTCAATTCTGGTCTGATGAATACGGTTTCAGTCGAACTATCCTGTTCGCATACACTTCAACGCTGATAGTAACTATGTCTACGGATGAATAAAGATGTTGTTACACACAAAAGGTTTTCAGTCCAACTTGTCTGGTCACTCGAAATTAACGCTGTCTAGTCTACAAATGAATATGTCAGACTTGGCTTGCCCGATCATCTGCAATGGAACACTGATGGTCACTTGTGTTTACAGATGAGTGTATAAGATGTTAATGTTTCTATACAGTCATCACTGAAAGTCATTGGTGTGTGCAAATGAACATCCCGGTCAAGTTGATCAAGTAAAACTTGAGTCCAGCTGTTCAACACAGCCACTCGTGTTTAGAAACAGTTGACAATTCTATGTCACATTTTAGGTTTGAGCGTTCTCTGACATTATGCTGCCATAACTGTTGTTTGCACAAATGTGGTCAGTTTATATAACCGGTAGACAGGTTTGTTCAATAAACAGTCGGAGGCCCACAGTACACACATGAAAGAGTCATTTCACACAACACTCGCAGAGTGTCTGTACTCGCAGAAAGCATAGGGATTTTTCCAGCGCAGGTTTGAAAAAGATTTTCTAAAGAATGGAATGAAAAAAGTAACAATCTCAAAGCATCCACGAAGAAATCATTTCAAGAACAATATTCATTAATGTTCTTTTGTCATTTTCACACCTTGATATCAAATAATACAAATGCTGTGAGTATTAAAAAAACTTATCTACATGAATGTCGTGTAAAAGTAAATAGTCAAAAACTGTATGTACATAAAAAAAGATAATATATATATATTTGTTATTTGTTGAAAACATTATTTGTTTAACTGTAATACACATCAAGTTTTCACATAACACAAATGTTAGGCATATTATGAAAAAAAATAATGTGTGGCCATTTTGACTTTTTCTATGGTCATTTTGACTTTTTGCTGTGGCCATTTTGACTAGGGGTTGTGGCCATTTTGACTTTTTTGTGTGGCCTTTTGTCGTGTGGCCATTTTGACCTGTTCCCTGTGAGGTTGTGGGCTGGCTTTAATCTGGTGGCGTGGGTAGTCTCCTGGCGCTTGTTGTTGGAGGCCATTTTCAATGCTGGTGATGAAGTCATCTTGGTTGTGTACTTGTCTGGTTGGAATCAACTCTGATAAAAAAAACAACAGGGCCCTCCAGCTATCTCTGATAATTAATCTTATCGTATATGTTGTCCCGCTTCCCGAACAGTTGGTTACCTCCAGTTGTTACTGCATTAATTACCAGATATCCTTTGATGTTGTTAATCACTTTCATACATACCATCACGTTATCTTAATTAATCCCTATTATAATTATGTGGGTCTAGGCCAATTGCCACCAGACAATGGCCACCGGACAATTGCCACCCAGACAATGGCCACCGGACAATTGCCACCTAGGGCAATTGCCACCCAGGACATTGACTCTTCATCATCTAAAGTAATGTTTATTGACAACCTGCATTCATTTTCTTAAACACAATTGCATAAAAAATTCTGGGTGTCAATTGTCCTCACTGTTATAGAAAAAATAACTGGGTGGTAATTGTCTTGCTCCCATTATATGTATACGAGTCTGTTCTATGCTGTATTATTTCACTCTTGTTTGACAACGGTATAAGAATCTATGCAGAAACATCGCGTCATAATATAAATAAGAAGTTGTTATCTAGAAAGTAACCTGCCTCTCTTATTACTCATCAACTCCAAAGTTGCCACTCAAACAGACTGGCATTTTCACTGACAGTGCAATCAAACGGAAACAGATATATCACATACTGTGGTTTGTGCTTAATTTGTAGAAGGTAAGCTCATTGTTATATAGAGTATTGTACAATTTGTATGCAAAATTAATGTTCCTAACTTAAAGCATGAGACGCATACTCTATAAAGTATAGGCAATTGAGTGTTAAAAGTAACAACGACAAATGAATTCTACCATGACTTCAGCAAATACTGAATGAGTTTAGTTTAGCAATATTCCAGCAATATCACGGCGTGGGACACCAGAAATGGACTTCATGAGGGGAATCAAACCCGGTCTTAGGCTACCCCAACCGGCCTTTGTAACTTTATAATTCACTTCTGATAATATTTTAAGATACTGCAGGTTAATATAATGATTTCTATTATTTCAATTATTAGACAAAAATCTTATGTATTGAAAAGTTTTAAATGATCATATATTTGATTTGTCTTATTTATCAGATATGTACATCACTTGTGTTATTGTATATCTCCAGCCATGCGTGTGCTTTGCAGCTCTCTTTATTTGTTGGTAATTAAGAACACAAAATAGAAAACTGTTCAGCCAGATGTTTTACATGAAAATAACATACAACGGACAATGTGCATTGACTATTATATATATCACCACCATATTATACTACAGTGTATTTATTATATCCAGTCAACTGACCAAGACGAGGCTTAAATGTGTTTCTTGTCTAAAACCATCCTGTTCTGTCACGGCCGTCTTTAAATGATAATTGATGCTCATGATCATCTGTATGTTAATTGGGACCTGTATTATCCTGGGACTACGGGTGCAGGAAGGGTTAGCGAGTGAGTTATTATTATAGTCACATCGACAATATTTCAGCCATATCGTGACTAAAACAAGTCATTTTGGGGATAATAAATAAAGTCATCTTATAAATTCTGTCCACAAAGGGAAGTAAAATAACTAGATTATCACAGATGATAATTAAAACTAGCATGGAACTTTGAATTAAACCTATATTATGGACAATACAATATAGAAGCGGACACCAGCAACTGAAGGTAGATCACCATACTTGGGACCATGGGGACTTACAGTACTTGTGCTACCTGCATGGACCATAGCTGGATTACATCATCCCTTTAGCCGCAGGCGAATTTAGTCAAATTTAGCCATAAAATAAAATCACAAATATACTACGTTTAAATAATCTGCTAAGCATAAATTTACTTGACTGTTTTGGGACTTACCTACCCCACAGTAGGACAATAGTTGTAGGTGCAGGAAGATGTCCTCAATTGTATCAGAAGGTCAAGTTCTGTCAACTTTCATACACTCATAAATGCGAACCATTTTCATAATCATATGAAATTGCCTTTGTGGTCTATTAAGACGATATCATAAGAATGGCTGTCAGCATTCCATACAATCGATCTTTAAAACGACTACCCACACACAATTTCCTAAGTTCTTGAACACCCATACACTTCAAGCCTGCGCCTTGGCCAAATAATCTTGTATTGGTTTTGCCAATCTGAGCAAAAACTCCGATAATGCGTAAAAAAGATCCGCAAGGAGTGGAGCCCAATGGGGATGCTTCAATGTCAAAATTACAAAGGCCTTTCACACAGATGTCATCAATAAGTGCAGTGTTTCACATTTCTGTTCATCAGAAAATATCTGATGATTGTCCTGAACCTTTGAGGATAGATGAGGAAGACATCTAGCTGCAGCTACATTGATGATCTGGTATAGTTCAGCAACAGTCACATGGCCAATTCACAATTCACTCAATCCAGTTCTGGTGGTGATATCTCTCTAAGAGACGAGAATCGTGCTCTGATGGACATTCATTCGACGGGCAACTGTAATCTGAGACTGTCCTGCTTCCAGGAGACCTATAGCAATAGGTTGATTGGAGCGGCTCAGTCATGGCATTCTGTATTCCCCAAATCCCAAATACAGTGAATAAATCAAAGACAGTGATGGATCTTTTATACCCATCAATGACACGATGTGATACCCAAGTTTCACGTGCATTATGTCTTCAATGACATTGCATGCGTATATTGAAAATCATGCTGTTACATACAGGTATGTCATGCGGAATGCGTTTGGATATGATGTTTTAAGACAAAAACACCATAGGAAATATAAACAATACAAACATTTTTGTAAACACCTCCCTGTACCAATACACTGCTGCATCAAAATGGTCAGTTTTGTTATGCGTTTCCTTTTTTGAGAGAGAGAGAGAGAATATTTGCTCTTAGTGGTGATTCCTTAAAGATTTCATAATGTTTTGTGTAGGATTTTATACATTCCAATAAGATTATATAATTATTCAATACAGACAATAACTCACATATTCCCATAGTCCACATGCCCTTTAATCGCATCTCTAAATCACTGAAATGTACGATTGCTACAAGTAATGTAAACTGTGCTTCTACTGTTCAATTGTAAAATACATTGTAATAAGTGTCATTTTATCAATGAAGTCACGTGATAAGTCTCGCTAAAATGTAAACTGAATGTTACCAATTACTGTTAAAATATATAGAATTCGAAAATGTTTTTTTTAACAATGCACAGTTATTGCTTACCTTTCAATGCCTAGGTTGATCAGCATTTTCTCCATCTGAACAGTTTCTAGTTAGTGCGAGACAGTGAACACATCATAACACGTTTATTACAGCGTATGTAATCGGACTTTAATCAAACCTAGTGATACTGAACCTATAGCAAAACATGGCGTCCGTCTGGATGGAGTGCAACAAGGTCAATCATCACAATTTGAAAGGCTGCTTAGATGGATCAAACACATCAATCCGTCTTTCCACATGTGATTGGAAAATAAAGATTTCAAGTTCGCAAGTAAACGAGAACAGTTTTGTAATTCGAACGTTTGCCGACAGTGTTCATGGAATCAGCAATGTGTCATGCTCAGTGTCTCGCGCATATTAATTGAGTATGAACGTACACTCGGAAACTGTTCGATGAAACATAATCTACACATGCGTAAAGATATGCAAATGGCCCCTGAACGGTACAACAACGATACACTGATCCAGCATACAAAAGGGTTCCCTATGATTGCATGGGTAGAGACTACCAGTTGGTACCAATAATCACTGAGTCAGAGATTTCAATATGCATGTACTCTCGTACGTGCTGCTTATTAACCCATGGAGTAATGATTCCTGTACAACTATATTTGATCGATAGGTTTGTTGATGTGGAGCGAATTATTTTCGCGTTAAGGACAAAATGTTTGTTTTGAATTAAAAACTTTCGCTAATAATTGAAACGGAATATCTGGTTATAATTACAATGTGGCTAGAAACACTATTTTAAGTTTTTCATTTGCCCTGCTTTCAATATGTGTTGCTTTAAATTACAGCTTACAAATGAATATTAAAGCAACTGTCTCTATTCATGACTGACTGCAGAGTCTGAATAAAGTCTGTTTATGTTTAACGTGGTAGTATAAGTAGTAGTAGGAGGAGGAGTAGTGAGGTGAGGTGAGGTGAGGTGAAATTGGGTTGAACGTCGTGCTTGAGAATATTTCGCTCATATGACGACGTGCATGCGTGTGTATGTGTATGTGCGGCTGCTTGTACTAGCCCAGACTTAAGCTGGTTTTATAGTGCTAGCTCACTGAGATACCATGCCGCAGTGAAGCATGAATACCCCACTCAGACACATTATACTGACTCCGAGCTGACCAGTCCTTGTTGTACCCATTAATGCCGAGCGCCAGGCAGGGACCAACAAGTACCATATTTTAACGTCTTTTGGTATGACGCGGTCGGGCGGACGCTCTAACCACTACACCACGGAGGCGGTCAGTAGTAGTAGTAGTAGTAGTAGTAGTAGTAGTAGTAGTAGTAGTAGTAGTAGTCAGCAGTCAGAAGCACCTGGCACGTGTGTATAAATATCATACATGTGAGTGAGTTAATATACAGCGTCATATTGGCAATATTGCAGCCATACTGTGACGAGAACAATTTAATTATGTCAATATTAAAATCAAGAAATTTCGAACGTAAAATCTTGTCATCGAAGGACAGTAGAAATACCAGATTAGCACAGTTCATAATTTAAAACTAGTACGCTATCATAAAAAATAGATAACTCGAGACAACAGTACAATAAAAACAATAGATCACCATACTAGGGGCCATGGTGACTTACAGTACTTTGGCTACCTGCATGGACCCTAGCTGGATTTATATCAACTCTTCAGCAGCTGACGATTGTAGTCAAATTAAGCCAAAATTAAAATGACAAAAATACTACATTTAAAACATCTGGTAAATTTAAATTTCCTTTGAGTGTTTCGCGATTTACGTACCCTCTCAGGAACATCATATGATCCACAAAGGAGCGTGTGTTCTGGAATGACATGTATGTATACAACTCACTGAGAGTGAGTAAATGTTGCTTTAAGCCGCATCGATTTCTAACAGTTTTATGACAGAGTTGCTGATGTGGAAGCCATTGCCGTTTTAACATCGGACTTGGTGCAAAGGGAAATCGCCGAACAAGTCTTAAGTAAGACTGCGTCTCGTCTAGCTGATGTCTTGTGTGGTCTGCCTGAACGATGCATATCCTTTACATCGTTTGTTTGGTGAGGGTTGTTGCCTGGCATTGTAGTGTCATGGACAACTCGGCATTAACCATACCTATAACTTGACATCTTTTGGCTGTCGTTAGTTGAGGGGGTCCCATAGGGTGTTTTAAGACAATATGTATGCGTTTTAGCTCAGTTTTCTAACTAGAGTGAATGATAATTGAAACTGTATTTTCATGACAGGAGTGTTTCAAAATGCAAGTGTTCCATATGCTCCCCACTTGTTACCTGGAGCACGTGCACCATGATTTGTTACATTTGAGACACTTAATAAGTTATTGCTTTCATTTATTTTCATAATGTTATTATACGGCAATTTTTAGGATACTGAGAGAATAATGTTTTAGGTGTTGCGATACTTTTTTCCATGTGTATATTTATATAATCGTAAGATATGTCATCCCAAAGCATTCGATTGAAGGCCAATTCAAACGCGAATCTTCTGGGGGCGGTTTAGTTATGGTACATGTAGTATAGGTTAACAGAAGTCGTAACATTTGTAGAGTAGGAATGTGGTGTTGTAGTTGAAGTAGAAGGTGTAGTAGACAGCGTTGCCATGGATTACAGGATTGTCGTGAACAGGTTGAATAGAATCAGAGACAGATCAAGTCACAAAAAGGCATTTTTGTGAGTGCGTGGAGAATGTTTAACACTGCAGAAAGCGATTACCACGAAGGACTGTAAAATGCAACACGATCGACCGTACTGGAGCAGTTGATACCAAATGTGGTCTTATAAGCATATCACTACTGCGTAGATCGATGCACATGATGTCGATCACTGGATTGTCTGGTCCAGATTCCATTATTTACAGACTGCCGCCATATCGCTGTAAGTTTGCTGAGAGCGGATTTAAACAAACAAACAAACCTTAAAGGAAGGCACGGACATTGTTCCTGAACATTAACAAAAGAAACCACGGATGCAGTGTAATGATAAGACTTTACTTGACATTGTGAAGTATACACCAGATGCATCAGGCGCACTGGGCATGCGCATCGAGATTGTCATAGACCCCGTTGGGAAGTCTTGGTAGAAGATCAAATGCGGCTTCTTCTTCGTAATATCTAAACACCTGCAAACTGAATAAATACGTAACATATATTGAAACAGCCAGATATACGGTAGACAATATGTACGAGCAGGATTCCCACATCACATAGTAATTCTATTTTCTTTTGTTGGAAGTGAACGTACTGTGTTAACATCATTCAGGCTGCTTTTGGGTGAAAGATTAATGTATAGTATATGTCTAATGTGAATAAATCCTTTGACTTGCACGCAAGATCAGAACGAGTTCATTTCGCGCTTCAGTACATAAAAAGGAGGGATAGAAATACCATTGAAATTCACGGAACCTCTAAGGGCCAATGGCAAGTGTTATCTTCCTGGGCCTAGATTTCCGAAGCTCTCTTAGCGCTAAGATAGTCGTAACTGCCATACATTAACATTAACATTAACTAAGATACGACGCCATACCTTAACATTAACTTACGACGATCTTAGCACTGAGCTTCGAAAATCTAGGCCTTGCAGCTTATGTTTGTAACTTTATCGTTTGCAGTAACTATTCCTAAAACAAATTACATTAACATGCCCTTAAGCTCTTATGAATTCTGATAACCTAGCTTTGAATAGAGACAATGTCTACAATTTCTTCTTTGATTGGCATTCTAGAAGTTGAGGAGATGAAGATTGAGGACAATTCTTATGGATATACAACTTTTTTATTCTGTGAAGGGCGACGTTTCGACATAGATTCTAATGACGTTGTCAAGCAAGTGAATCTATGTCGAAACCTATACAGAATAAAGAAGTTGTATGTCCATACACATTGTCCTCATTCTTAACGTCTCCAATTTGTTGGCAATTGCTTAATAGATTTTCTTACGTGCTCCATTTCCTGTTTCGGGTGTTGTACACGTAGTAGCTGTTGGCGCCCATGGTGTCCGTCAGGCGCACATAAAGGGAGAAGGTTTTGGTGTTGTAGCCGTCCAGAACCAAGTACTCTCCCTTTGTCTGGTTAAGACTTGGGTAGAACTGGACAACATATGGTGAATGATGTATTATTCGAGCTGGGCATCAGCAAACTACACACAAGCTCACTTACATCTACACGTGATATATGTATCCGAATCTCATGTATGCTTTCTGGTAATGTGTCGGCATGCCAGGTTTGGAAATCGAACAGCAACAGTCGAATTCTCAAACTGAACGATTCCCCTTGATAGTTTCTTTCAACAGAGGTAGCTTAAAAAACGATCAAAAGTTCCCTGGATGTGTTTGGTCAGGCCAGCTTCAGATCTGGCCCCTGTATCTCTAAAATTACTTAAGTTTTAGTTTTTATTCAAATTTAAGAAAACCAAGAAAATCAATATCAAACTCAAACTTAATAGATGACTTGAGTTTTTTTGTGTTTGTTTTGTTCTATTTTCTTAAAACGGACCGAGTTAGAAACTTGAAAATTTGAGTAAAAATTTAAGTTGTTTTCGAGAAATCGGGGCCGATTGTCAGCATTCCAGGAATTCATCTTGTGAACAGATTGATCGTGTTAAATTAAGTTGGTAAGACGTCGGTCAGTAATATACATGGTGTGACAGCTTCTCCTTCTATGCTTCTTCTGGGGCGGTGGGGTAGCCTAATGGTTAAAGCGTTGGCTCGTCACGCCGAAGACCCGGGTTCGATTCCCCACATGGGCACAATGTGTGAAGCCCTTTTCTGGTGTCCCCCGCCGTGATGTTGCTGGAATATTGCTAAAAGCGGCGTAAAACCAAACTCAGTCAGTCAGTCTATGCTTTTTCTACTTCCAGGGGTGGTGGAATAGCGTCGTGGTTAAAGCGTTCGCTCGTCACGCCGAAGACCCCTATACGATTTCCCACTTGGATACAATGTGTGGAGTCTATTTCTGGTGTCCCCTGTCGTGATAGTGCTGGAATATTGCTAAAAGCGGCGTAAAACTAAAACTCACTCACTCCACTGTTCAGCTTCCAAAAATTCAGCAGCTCATTACTGAAGCCATATCTTCTGGTATATACTTCGGTGACTTTTGCTGGTACTTAGTGAGAACGTGTTCGTATGTTTTAAACATGCATCTACCATTAAGTCTATCATTAAGTGTTCGATTTAACCTTATATAGGTCCAAATAGACCAAATAGGTCTTAACCAATATCATGGTCAGGGTCTCTTTTAACTTCAGTTTCGAATGAAAATTTTAAATTATGAGTCAGGTGCAGCTACTACTTACACTCCATGTCCGACCATTGTTGTCAGTCTGTCCACACTGAAACACCCCAGTGGTCTGCTGGAAACACCCATACGCCAAGGCTCCTGCCTTTACAAAGCTGCACCGAGGACCCAGGGGATTGGACTTGTAATGCTGCGTGATAAACCGCTGCACTGCCCGGAACTTGGACACTGTCGTGGGATCCTGCCCCGTGTACTCCAACATCCCCCAGCTTCCGTACTTGGAGGGGGTGCTTGTGTAGGAGAAATAATTAAACAGACCTCCTGATAAATAAAATGAAAACATTAAGGTTACAGTGTTACAGAAACGACAAAACCCTTTCCACACCCATAAGAAATATCTGCTAACCAGAGTCGATTGTACAATTCTGATTCTCTCATGAGCAATGTACTTGTAAAAACATATATATACTCTTGGAAACGAATAAGGGAAGACATGAAAGTACAAGTGTTTCAGCAGTATCATAGCTGTACGGTGTTGTTTGTGTATTTTCTGGTATCGGCGATATCAAACTAAAATACTTCATATATGTTGATAAAATTATTAATGGTATATTAATATATTCACGTTTCTATCCAGTGTATTCTGCATTTATATATTTGAATGCTAAAACATGTGCCTGTATAAAATCCTACAAAATACAAATAATGTATTCACAGTCCCTCCGGCCATTTACACCTCGTTAACATTCAAAGTATATTGACTGACTGACTGAGTTTGGATTTACGCCGCTTTTAGCAATATTCCAGCAATATCACGGCGGGAGACACCAGAAATAGGCTTCACACATTGTGCCCATGTGGGGAATCGAACCCGGGTCTTCGGCGTGACGAGCCAACGCTTTAACCATTAGGCTACCCCACCGCCCCCAAAGTATATTGGGGCGGTGGGGTAACCAAATGGTTAAATCGTCCGATCGTCACGTTACGGATCGGGTTCGATTCCCTACATGAGTACAATGTGTCAAGCCCATTTCTGATGTCCCCCGTCGTGATGTTGCTGGAATATTGCTAAACGCCGCATAAAACCATACTCACTCACTCAAAGTGTATTCTTATGTGTTTATATATGCTGATGCATAAAACTGTACCTATGTACATGTATAATAATTATACAACCGCCACTTACATTACCTGGTGATTTGTTGGAAGGGTCCTGAGTAACGAGTTTGAACCACGTGTTCATGATGTCAATAACTGGTTGTTCCATGTGACTGTCTTTGTTGAAGGCTATTGCCTTGTCGGTCACTGCCTGTGTGTTCTGACCGAAGTGGGCTATGGCGCCACTTTCCATTACTCCTGGTCCTCCCTCGTACATCACTAGCTGCAAGCCGTGACTCTGCCAACAGAGGCATTGACTTCTTTCAGTGGCATTTAGAAGCTGGTATGATGAAGATGAACAAACTTTCTGGATTGACAACTTCTTGCTTGCTAACTGTGTTTGTATCTACACCAAAACGTCGCATATATTGCAATAAAGAACTTGTCAATTCATAAAAATTTGTTCCTTTTTAACGGAGGCATTAGTCAATGGACAATGGTCCAACTGGGGGAAATTTGCTTTCAATAATGCATAGATATAGGTCATTTTACACCAGATAAAGTACATGTATGCACAAGGCGTGTAGCGTTTTTATTGAAGTCATTCATCATTTACTTCTCAGTATAAATATGTGCATGGCATTTGTTGGCTTTCGCTATTTTGAAACATTCAAACCAATCCGTCTGGAAACTTTATCCAGTTCTCTCTCAAAACAGCTGCCATTACCATGTAATCATATTACACACCCCAATGCAGATAGCGAGAGCGTTACTGACGAAGCATACCTAACCTACGTCAAATATACAAACGTCAACACTGCTGCTGCCTCTGCTAATAAAAAAAACGTGTTCCACACATGTAAATTACAATTTATCATTTTTTTTATTAATTGCATGTCTAATATTTGGTTATTTGCATTCTGCAAAAGGATTTTTTCCAACAGTGTTGCCTTATGATACTTAACTGTGAGCGGTTGCTTCAAGAAATCAATTACAAATCGTACCGAAGTCCCATATTGAATAGTAGCAAAATTTTGCAGTTGACCTGGTGTGGTCATGAATGTACACAGAAATTACATTGATCTATTGTATATTCCAACAACTCTGCCATCTGGTTGGAATCCCTTCGAATCCCAACTTAGCCATTTTGTAGCAGAGAAACGTTCGAAAAACCCTTGTGAATAGCATTAGCAATTATTTAGAAATTATGTGTTTAGGGTTGCCTTTGTTCTAAAACAATAGCCACAGTTTAGAAGTGATGTGTTTAATAGCCATTGTTTAGAAGTCATGTGTTTAGGATGCCTTTGTTCTAAAAATAGCCAGTGTTTAGAAGTGATGTGTTTAGGGTACATTTTTACTAAAATAGCCATTATTTAGAAGTGGGATGTTTAGGATTCATTTGTACTAAAAAATAGCCATTGTTTAGAAATGATGTGTTTAGGATTCTTTTGTACACAAAAATAGTCATTGTTGAGAAGTGATGTGTTTAGGATACCTTTGTACACAAAAATAGTCATTGTTTAGAAGTGATGTGTTTAGGATTCCTTTGTACACAAAAATAGCCATTGTTTAGAAGTGATGTGTTTAGGATTCCTTTGTACGCAGTATTAGCCAATATGCAGTAGTGATATGTTTGCTTGCCTGTGTCTTTATGTTTAACCTTAGATGTGACAGGCTGTGGGATAGCCCAATGGTTAAAGCGTTTGCTCGTCACGCCGAAGACCCGGTTTCGATCCCCATATTTCTTGTGATATTCCTGCATTATTGCTAAGAACGGCATAAAACTAAACTCACTCACTCACCTTAGACATGTTGAGGTAGTAATGGAGTTGATCTTCCATGACAGGTACATCCTTCTTGCACAGATCCTGAATCTGAGACATAGACATGGACACGATTTCCTTCGCCTGAAACAAAACATAACACAACTTGTGTCAGACATGATTTTGAACATTCCCGAAAATTAATAAAATTGGTCTTCGGCAGCCCTTGCTTGTCGTAAAAACGGCACTTAGGGAATCGGATGGTAAGGATCTATGACCTGCTTGATACATTTCGTCATACCCCAATTTCTAAGCTTTGTGCTCATGATGTCAATCCCTGGATTATCTAACAATTACAGAATATTGCTGAATGCAACGCCAAACAACAAAACATTCCATAGTGTTCAGCCAAAGTGATCAATCACCCGAGCCACCCAAATGGAAATAAACCTAAAAGGGGACGTCACATCCCAATGCTTTGACTATGAGTTCTAGTCAGTTAAGTCTCTATCATCCATGATTACTGACAGGGTGGTGGGGTAGCCTAGTGGTTAAAGCATTCGCTCGTCACGCCGAAGACCCGGGTTCGATTCCCCACATGGGTACAATGTGTGAAGCCCATTTCTGGTGTCCCCCATCGTGATTTTGCTGGAATATTGCTAAAAGCGGCGTAAAACCATACTCACTCACTCATGATTACTGACGAGCTGCTTCATTAAGGATGCATGGGTTATTGCAAGGAATGGAGGACTGATACTATCATTTATACATTTAGACTAACGTTTAGTCTCTGAATATATATAATTTTGATTGTAACAAATAAACCCATTTAATTGAAAAGGAGCCTCAGGGAGACCAGAGCTGGTGATCTTGACTTGCTTCATAAAAGGTGTTAGCATCGCAGGGAGGGTTAGGCTGTAGGGAAAATAATATGGTTCAGGTGAGACAGACTATACTACAGTATGTTTTACATACTGAAATAGCGTTTCTGTTTTTGTAATGTATAATTCCACGGCAGAATATGCGAGTCTATTTTAAACAATTTTGTCTAACTCTGCACGTACGTGTTTGTCGGCTGCCTTATCACAGCTGAAGTAGCCTGTGAGACCAAGGGCCTTGAACTTCTTTATGTTATCCCCCAGAGCTGCCACCGCCTGTCGGTAGTAGTCCTGGTAACCTGTCTGCCATGCAAATATTGGGTACACTTTGTCCTTGTCAGATCCATACACCTGAAAATATACAAATCAAGGTAATTTACGAACTGCATTACGTATACATTTTATATGAACTAGCTATATACATGTATGAGACTGACTCAACTGACGGATGTCCAAGGATTTTAGTTGGAAAGTTGGAGAGCAATATGATATTGTAAACAAAAACATTGAATTCATAGCAAATTCACTACGTTTTTTATGTTTTGGATGTTTGGTTTTTTTTCGAGTGTGTGTGATGAGGGGAGGGCTTATCTTTTTAATTGTTATTTCATTTCCAGTGTTAAAATTAGATAGATCAAGTCTGATTAATACATAACCAATCGTGACTGTAAAATTATTGAACGGCGAGTTTTCCTGAACAAGAATTATTTCCTGCATATTTGTTAAATGTATTCTGGTGCCTACGAGACCCTCACAACGGACATCATTGTTAGTGCATGACATAAACGATTGATGATAGCGCACCTGATGCCATTACAGTCATTCAAGATGAAGGACATGCAAAAGATTACTACAACGTGTATATATGATACATTTATATATTACATGCGTATGCTTTATGCGACAGGCACTGGGTTGTTTAGTAAAATTTAGTAAAAGTGTGGCGTTAAGACAAAAACCAAAAACGTCATAACAGTTTGTGCTAACGCAAGGTCCAGAGAGCGGTTTCTCAAATCACAGTCTAACATTGCATTCAATATTTGCGCCTTTGAAACAAGCCGTGACACTGCTGGAATATTTCTAAAAGCGGCGTAAAACTATACTCACTAACACACTCACTCTTTGAAACAAGCTAACAAACCTGGTTCCAGATGTCGGCAATCTCAGCTGCTCGTCTACCATAGTAAACCAGCCCTGCCTTCCACTGCTGAGAGGCAAGGTTCAACTTGACACCCTGTTCACCCGCGTATTTATTCTGTCGGAATATACCGTTCCATACCTCGTTGGAGTACTCCAGGTAGACCTAAAACAAGCCATACCATAATAATATCAATGCAAATAGTCTAAAAATTATGAACATTTTTTTGCATTTGAAATCGAGTGATCACGTTGGAATACTTCATTTCACTTTATTTACGTCAGGGCGTCAGGGGACCCGTGAAGATCCGGGTTAGAATTGATCTTCAGTAACCCATGCTTGTCGTAAGAGGCGACCAAAGGGATTGGGTGGTCAGGCTCGCTGATTTGGTTGACACATGTCACCTCCCAATTACGTAGATCGATGCTCACGCAGTTGATCATTTGATTGTCTGGTCCAGACCGCCACCATATAGCTGGAATATTGCTGAGCATGGCGTAAAACTAAACTCACTCACTCACTCAGGGCGTTAGGATGTCAGACTACAATTTATAGTGCATAGCAGTCATGTTTCCTGTGTCATTCAAGACTACTATCAAACATTGTTTTGTCGAACGTTGATGTGTCGAAGTTACGGTTGTCTCGAAGTATAGTGTTTGAGTGAGTGAGTGAGTTTAGTTTTACGCCGCACTCAGCAATATTCCAGCTATATGGCGGCGGTATGTATAGGGTTTGGGTAACTCGAAGTATTTGCGTAGGTCCCATCAACTTCGACACAATCGTGTCTGTATTTTAGATGATCACCTCAATAAATTGCAGCTCCGTCGAATATTTAACAACTTCGACTTATATAGTTAAAGCATCGTTTTGATTGTGGAGGGTTACAGAACGCAAAGTAAGCCCAATGCTCAAACGCCAATACCAGTAAATGCCATGGATCACCTTCAGGTCCGGTCTGAGATTCTGCTTCACCAGCTGAGCAAAGTTCTTGACATAGTCATCAGTTGCAGCATGGGGGATGTTGAACCAAGGGTTGGCTCCCAGTGTATTGGCCAGATGTATCATGTACTCGATGGCGCCGCCCTGTGATCCAGCTTGAGTGTAAGAACCAGGGGTATTACGGTCTGCCCATGTTGTTGGTTCCGGCTGCCAAATATTGCATTTAAGTGTGTTAGAGGAAGAGCAAGACATTTCGAGTTCTAGACATGACACTGTTCAGTCATGCAAGTGTGTGAGTATTGGTTTAATCCGCTTTTAGAAATATTCAAGCAATGTCAATGCGAAGGACACATGAAATGACTTTACAATGTGTACCCAGGGGAGGAATCGGACATGGGCCTCTGGCGTGAAGAGTGAAAGCTTTAACCACTAGGCTACCCCGCAACTCATCTATTCGAAGTACCAATTTACCTCGTGATCATTGTGCCAACGCCAACGAAAAGAATCCCGTTGACTCAAATCACTTGAATACCAATTGTATCGATTACACCCGAAAAGAACAAAGATACCCTCCTTCAACATTTAAACTTGGTTTGAAATATATTTTGAAAATATAGAAATGGTAGTCACCTCGTGACCGTTGGTTGACAGAAAGTCCATGAAACGAAGTTCCGAGTATCGTTTGAGATTCTCCAAGAAGACTGGGTGAAATGGGAATCGATCGTACACATACTCGAAACCAGGGACAAGAACTCGTATGTTTCTTAGAGGATCCCTGGGATTCGTTGTATGGATCGTCATAGTGAATCCACCTGAACCAATCTTTGGCATTCTAACCACCATGCGACCTTGAATAAAGAACAGTTCAGAACAAATTAGAGTTTGAAACATCCACTTCACTTACAAGGTGATTTCTGAGGTTGTTATGAATTCTTCATATGTGACTTCAAGTGGTGTCAAAATAAATTTCATTTGTGTTGAGGGAATAATGCATGGGGAAAAGACCGATATACTCTGTGGTTAATGGTTTATACAAAATTGATTTAAATAAGTTGAACGTATTGTCTTAATCCAACTATGCATAAATTTAGAATGCTTCTTATTTCGAAAGATAGCGGTTACTGAGAATACTATCTAAATATACATCTCCAATTTTTTACATGAAGTTTGATTAACACTTGAATGATGTAATGTAAATTGTGTTCCGTATCACTGTAATATCCACATATGCACGTTCTGTGGAAATGGGCCAGTGGCCTTCATACGGATAAACAAATGTTATTCGTCAAGTATGTATGACTGATGAGTAAAACTATTTAAATGCATATGATGTTTATCACTGTTTTCTTATATTAACCAGAAATACCTTTTCCATCATAAAGAACATGTTCTTCAGTGAGTCCAAAGTCCATAGTCCCCTCGCCATCATAGAGAACCGTGAAATTCCCCTTTTCTTCGTGTGATCCAAAACTTCTGAACATTAGTTGCACCAGTTTCTGTCCAGCTGATAATGAATACATTTTTATGAAATTGGAGAAACTGGCATATAATTTAGCAAATTTTGTGAATGTTAGTCACTTACAGTTATGTCATCATGAAATTATAACTAGGTACACATTTAAGCTTTGAAGCATTGTCAGGTAATATATTTATTACAGCATTTATTCAATCTTGTACAGAATTCATCCTGCTTAACGCAACATATGTTATATTTGGGGGTACACGTTTTTTTGTTAAGTACAAAATCCAGTGTGGATACATTTCAGCTGAATTCCAACCGGGACATCCTTTCTCTGAAAAAGTACAGAGTCTTGTATCTTTCGGGGTTTAGTCCCATTCGGGATTCGAATCCACACTCTCAGATTCATGCACCTGAACTCCAACACTCAACATCAGTTATCTAACTCACTCAGCCACCGACACTTCCACAAACATGGAAGTCTGGTAACTGGAACTCTATATCCTGTGGGCGGTTGGGTAGCCTAATGGTTAAGCGTCCGCTCGACACGCTGAAGACCCGGGTTCGATTCCCCACATGGGTGCAATGTGTGAAGCCCATTTCTGGTGTCCCCCGCCGTGATATTGCTGGAATATTGCTGAAGGCGGCGTAAAACCATACTCACTCACTCACTCTATATCCTGTGTTTTATGTTCCCGTCTGACAAGTGTTCTACGTACGTTCAAGACTGGCTGGGTACCCATCCTTTGTCAAGTGCAGCTTGTCCTGTTCCTGCGTGTCCCAGTCATGTCGTCCATCTCTCTGTGTGACCCACTCCTGGGAAAGCTTGTGGATGTCCACGAACTTCACCTCAGACGAAAAGTAGCTGATTCCACCCAAGTTCATACCTACCGCCACATCCTTGTTCATCATTCTAGAGGACAAATTACGGGGTTGTGTTTAGGTTTATATTGGAGTTTGACTAATACCTTTTGTTCGTTTCATGGATGTAGTTTTTCTCTTCGTCTTTTAAAAACTATTTCAGTGACGACATGTTAGTCTACTATTAGATGAAAGGGCAAACGTTACATTAAAATACAACTATCTTAAAAGCCATCCAATGGTCTATTGATATTTCCTGCAGAGCCATTTTGCTCTTTACACCAAATGGAATCATTTTCTAAGGATAGTCAAGATTGGGTATTCTTTTGCACTTTTATATTTGCTTGTTTTAATTCTTACATGCTTGAATCATATTGCGAGCAGTCAGCCCCTTTGTATCCTTCCCAGCATACACACTGACCGTTACGACAGGCGCCGTATCTGCATTTCTGTGTACACCCACATTCCCCGGGACCGATACAGGACTCGCCTGCAGCAGACAAATGTTATAGACACTTCATGTAAAATGTTTTCTTTGTGTAAGATTGTGTAAACAAGTAAACTTTCATCATATTCTAAATGTCATTACTTGAATGTGAAACCGTGAATAGGTAGGGATTTCTAAAGTGTATTACGTTTGTGATTACTCTTAATAAGCTTTAAAATCTTAAGGATTCGAATTCTGTCTTAAATAAAAGACGTGGAAGATCGTGACATTGCTAGTATCCGTCTTGTTCCAGGTGTGAAATAATAAACATCGTAGTTAATAAGACATTGTCGTAAACAGCATATGTTGTCAAAGTGTTAAATGTAAGAAAACTAGCTTATTTCCCGTTGAAGAACAATTTATAATTTTCCAATGTCCAAAGTTAGGTAGTAACTTTACATTTTCAAAGTCATGCACGTTCGACCAACCCACAAGCTAACATCAAGTTCTGAACTAGCAGTTTGTTTAATCATATCATAATTTAACCTTCCAAATCGTGGAATATTTTATTAAATTCGAAAGACCGGGTTATTGCTCAAGGCAATGTGTCAAGAAGATATGTTTCAGAATCATTCCAAAAAACTTCAAGCAGGAACTCCACATACCATTGCTACATTGACAATCCCATACACATCTGCGTTGAGACGGGTCCCATTTCCATCCGTCGTCACAAAGACAAGTGTCATCTAGCAATCATATATTAATGCAACGTTTCAACCGAAGATATTTCCAGTATTTCATACAGTGAGTGAGTGAATCTAGTTTTACGCCGCACTCAGCAATATTCCAGCGATATGACGGCGGTCTGTTAATAATCGAGTCTGGACCAGACAATCCAGTGATCAACAGAATGAGCATCGATCTGCGCAATTGGGAACCGATGACATGTGTCAACCAAGTCAGCGAGCCTGACCACCCGATCCCGTTAGTCGCCTCTTACGACAAGCATGGGTTACTGAAGATCAATATTCTAACCCGGAACTTCACGGGTTATTTCATACAGAGATACACATGAAGCAGAACACGAATTGTCCAGTTTTTGCAATGAACACGGATGATGATTTCAACATGTAGATGCGTCAAAATTAAAAGTGCAAAAGAATACAAAATCTTGACTATCCTCCGAAACAAATTCTATTTTATGTAAAGGGAAGAATAGCTGTGAAATTTAAATATTCAAATTAATGGATAACGGAAAATCAGTGGTGATACCAGGTGTTCCAGAAAATAAAAATAAACGCTATCGTGTAAATTTCAGCCTAATGGTTACTTGTTTGTTACGCATTTCACACTTCCAGATGACTGCAGTTTCCAGAAATCAGGTAATTAGAGAATATTTAAATTATTAGATCATGAGAGGAATGTTCCGTTATTAACACGACAAAAGTCCTCTAAAATCTAAAACGGGCAAAACATCTCTCAGGGTTTGCAATATGAAAGCTGAGCTTTAAAAAGTAATTAAATAATATGAAACACTGTTCTTTCAAACTAAATTAGTAGGCCATCGTTAAGCCAATTCTTCACTTTAAATAATATTTAGTTTTGCGACGTTTCTGACGGTATTTGAAATTGACATGTATATTACGTGTTTACCGCTGGCACAATGTCCATAGCCTCCACATCCACAATCACCACTGCAGTCGTTGCCATAGAAACCATGAAAACAATGGCACTTGCTGTTGATGCAGCGTCCGTTCCAGTTACAGTCGTTGTTACAGACTGCGTCGGCAACACTAGAACCAAATGAATGAATTTAGCAATATGCCATCACTCGTGAAGATCCGGGTTAGAATCAGAGGCCCTCGTGTCTTTGCGAGGATTAAGATTTTTTAAAAATTTATAAAAATTTGAGATGACCCCCCAACTCGAAATGCTTCACTGTTCAATACATTATGACAAGGCCGGACACTTCGGTGAACCCTACACGACTGCTTTGCCGATCGCTACGCTACCATCGCATGCAATCGATTAAGACTTAATGTACACATAATCATGGATGATTGGCCTATCGAGCACCACTCATGACACCTACCAATTCTTTATTGTTATTTCTGCAAGTCGATTGAAACCCGATTTCGACTCTCAACTAAACGATCTTGACACAAATGGATGACAATATATCCGCACAAAACGGAGGTATGGTCGAAGCTCGATTGTTTACAGACCCCTGCCATATAGCTGGAATATTCCTGAGTGCGGCGTTAAACAACAAACCAACTCTATTTGTGTGACAGTGGCTAGGATTTGGAGCAATACACTGGAAAGCCTCTTGGCTTCACGCCATATGATCAGAGAAGTTTTGTCGGTCATGAGAAAGAGGCAGGAGGTATTGTTTTCATGTAAAGATATTCCAGCAAGATAAGATATATGTATAAAAATTCCAAGCAATGTGTTATATAGTTTGGGATTGGTTCTAAAACAAGCTTTTGACCGATATGTTGAGTGAGTGAGCGTGGTTTTATGCCACTTTTAACAATATTCCAGCAATGGCCTTCACACAGTGTACCCACGTGGGGAATCGAGCCCGGGTTTTATGCGTCAGTAAGAAACGTTCTAACTACTAACTTAAAGCTACTCCCATCGCCTCAGCCGATGTTTGGTAAGAACGACTGTCACTTTTTAGTATGCAAATGGTAACGTTGAATAATCCAAAACACAGTGCACATGGCTATCTCTTTCATTTGAAATGAAGTACACTTGTTCAGTTTACAATCTGGAAATTAATTTCATTCTGTAAACATTGAAAATTTAGCTTTGTTGCTCTTTTTATAAAATTATTGATATCAAAAGCATCAAAAGCACACCTTACGAGGTACGTTGGAAAATCAGGGAAATGACCTAAGAGCTTTATCCTGTGCTGAAGCACATGCACAATCGGCGCATCTTTTTGCTTCCAGAATCATCTTTACAAGCTACCTACTATAAGTGCATTTTTTTGCTATGCAGAATTACGTCCCTTAGAAAAGCCAGGATGGTGCTGATTCTTGGTTCGAGGCCCGGGTTGACTATGATTGTAACTGCTTGTTTGTCAAGAACATACGGGTGCTTTTGAGTTTATTTAAAACGCAAAACTCCCCAAGCCCATAAGAAAAATATCTAAATAAGGAAATGTGTTTTACAAATGTGTAACGTAATGTATGAAATTGTGAAATTCAGTCACTTGGTACTAATCTTTAAATTGATTTTTAGATGATGTAGAGCGAGTCACTTTGCTTCAGAAGCATATCATTAAATGTAGAGAAGGAACATCAAGATGATGTGGGATGTGATGTGTGCAAAGATAAGAGTTTTTATCACATCAGAGGATCAATTTCTAAATTTTAGACAAAAAAATATTTTATTATTTCACATCGGAATGAAAAAAAGGGCGGGCGGGATGTGGGAAACAGAAGAAATACTGACAGCCTTATGTTTTCAATTTACTGAAAAATTTATTTAAGTCTCTATGACTTGGCCTACCACTTTAAGCTAACTTTATAACTTACTTAATAAACGACGATCATTAACTGCAATGTCGAAGTAATAATGCATGGTACTTGACCGTGGTGCATATATATACATACCATACCGTCACTGCAAGTGCTGTAATAATTATAATCCCATTCATTGAGTTTGCATTGAGGGAGACCACGAACGATACGTCAGTTCTGCCTTAAATAGATTCCAGCCAATGGGCACTTTGGACTAAACCATTTTAATTCGCAGGGGTGTGTGACCAAACGTAATCTGGCCTACCTAAATCTGAGGAATAAAATTAATATAGTGAGGTCAAGAACGTGTTGAGAATTGTCTTGTATCTAGATACTGATAATGTATTCACACCTTTTCCGTCCGTTAACAACACGTTGACAGCCACGTTGGTCTATCTGTATTTGCTTATATGAAGTCTAAACTAATGTCGTGCCTGTACAATAAACGAATGTCACTTACCTGGTGATCTGTTGGACGGATCCTGGGTAACGAGTCGGAACCTTGTGTACATGATGTCGATAAGTTTGTCAATTTATTTGGAATATATTATGTTAGTTGAGCCTAATCATTTGTTTATTTGATATGTAGCACCCTTGCTTTTGTGAAATTATGTTAGGAGCTCGGTAAAGATAAGTTACACCACATTTGATCTAAAATGAAAACATCAATCTATCGTGTTTGCACCTACTGATCTGAATGTAGATAGAAGCCGTTTTAAAGGTCATTGCTAATAAGTTGTTTGATCAACAACAAGGCCTTAGTGAAGACTTTTAGAATATTCAGAGGTCCGTGTGTGTTTTAGGGGCACAGTTGATTTGCCTTTTCATGTGTTTGTGACGGGAACCACCGTTGGAGTCGTCTTTTTGCAAACACCAGGCATTACAACTCTCTGATGGTTTTGGATTGATTGTACAATGAACTACGGAGATTTTCCATGATTATTGAATGTCTATTTTCGATTTTACGATTTTCGTGTGTAGGCAGTAAGTTTTATAGTAAAGTTGCCAAGTGATAGAGTGGTGAAAAATATATATTGGTCGTAATCATAGATATTAATTACAATACACGATTCCCAAAGTTGTCTTTTGCCTTTTTACAAGGATTACATTCACCTTTGTAATTACATAAGTTATCAAACCGGAACATGAGTCTCATTAGCCTATTCAGACAATGACCTAGTTTTCAGCCGATCCGAACTTTCTCGTGTGAATGTGAAAAGAGACACCACACACAAACCATGGTTATACTGAATTCCAATTCCTTGTTTCATAAGAAAATGGTATTTACAAGTAAATTTTAAATTTAAACCTTTATAACATCGTATTTCTATATTTTATGGCGAGGTGTAGGCAGCATGTCGTTAACTTAGACGTCACAGACTGCCCCTGTTTGATGAGGTCGTAAAATGATTCACAATTCATCTGGCTCACTGGTTACACCTTTTTGCGCTTATTCAGTGTAGTTGTGTAACCCACAATGTGATTGATATAATATCCAGTCCGTACCAGACCGCCAAACTTTTCTAGCGGCAGAGCCTCGTTTTGAGATTTCCACGATTTCCAGATTTCCGTTTGTCAGAGCAGGCTGTACGACAGAGCACGCTGCACGACGTGTTTGCAAGGATTAGAAGGAGCGTAGTGTTGCAATATACAAGTGCTTAGATGTATCAAATAATACTGATACATATGTATGTATCCAGTTGAATGAATTGGTCTAAAATTCTGGACTGGTTATTGTACAAAGTTGCGCAATAGGACGGAACCCAGTCAGCAAGAAACGAGACTTGTGTAATCAATGTTTTGACTTGTAAAATACACAATATTTTGTCAGCGGCATGATGGTTTTCGTGTGTGAAGTGAATGAGTGAATGAGTGAGTGAGTTTTACGCCGCTTTTTGCAGTATTAAAGAATATCACGGCGGGGGACACCAGAAATGGGCTTCACACATTGCACCCATGTAGGGAATCGAACCCGGGTCTTGGGCGTGACGAACGAACGCCTTAACCACAAGGCTACCCCACCGCCCTTTTCGTATGTTGAACCGATAGAACCGTGTTAGTTTCAGCTCTCCTCATATTGAATATAATATAAACTATAATATAGTTATGGCAATATGCCTTCACGAGTAACCACCTCCCTGGTCTAGTGGTTAGAGCGTCCGCCCGGAGAGCGGAAGGTCGAGGGCTCGATCCCCGACCGCGTCATACCAAAAGACGTTAAAATATGGTACTTGTTGGTCCCTGCCTGGTGCTCGGCATTATTGGGTACAACAAGGATTGGTCGGCTCGGAGTCAGTATAATGTGTCTGAGTGGGGTATTCATGCTTCACTGCGGCATGGTATCTCAGTGGGCTAGCACAGCTTCAGTCTGGGCTAGTACAAGCAGCCGCACATACACATACATACGCATGCACGTCGTCATATGAGCGAAATATTCTCACGCACGACGTTAAACCCAATTTCACCTCACCTCACCTCACCTTCACGAGTAAATGTTAAGCAAAATTATGATGTCCACAAATGTTGTTACTATGTATGTGTCAATGAATTCATGATGACTACCTTGTGAGATTGGATGTATTTTTTCTGGATAGGTTAAAGATACAGAGCACGTTCGACAAAACCATTTATTTAGGGGTGGCATCAAAACTTATCTGACCGACCTACATTTGACAAAAGATAATTACAGCCAACAACTGGGAACAATGTACATGTTAGATAAGCTTACTTTTCACCATGGTGTCTGAATTTGCAACTCATGTTATTTTAGAAAAGTCTGGATTTCGTACACATGTACCGCTCTGAAATGTAGAAATTGGCTCGACTCCCTTGCTTAAAGCTTTCAATACACGGGGCCTTTTCGAAGGTGGTCTGATATAAAATATGTTATAATATTTGGGATTGTACGATATCAGTAAAAACAGACTGTTACACCGCTTTGAGCAATATTCCAGTAATATCACGGCAGGGGATACTAGATATGGCCCCATTGTACCCATGTGGGGAATCGAACCCGGATCTTCAGTATGACGAGTGGGCGCTTAAACCATTTGGCTAGCCCACCACCCTGAATTTGGGATTCGAACCCAACGTTCAGGTTAAGGCGTCACCTCACTGTTGTAGTGGCATATCTATACATACTCCCCATCAAAAGTTTAGACTCACCAGTGTAAAGGTAGCCACTTACTTAATCAACTGTTCTAAACTAGATTTTGCATACTGTTTAAAGGTACTGTTTACACATGAACTGATGTATTGTAAAACAAATTCGTAACGTTGAAATGATCATTGTCATGAGTTTAATAAATGATGAAACTCAGTGAAAATTGGCAAATTCTTAACACAACTTTACACCAAAACGCAGATGCTCACATGCACGATATTTCCACATGCTTTTTAGCAATTTGATGCATGGTCCTCGTGCAATTCATCTGCAAAAAAGTTTGCAGTTGGTTTCCCCAAGTTAGTGGAGAAAATCATTTTCGATATAAGAAATACATTTCAGTGAGGCTAAACTTTTCATGCGTAGTATACCTATCTAACCAGCATGTAATGAGCACCGAAAGGTTGTCATTAGGCTTGTCTGTTTCTGTCATTAGGCTTGTCATTTCAGAATAAAAATGTTTGTGTGCATACAAGAATATAATCAAATTAGCCAGTGACAATCTCACCACTCCTTAGTCTTCACTGCGCCGGAGTAGGAAGACATTATTTATTAAATAATTTTTAAATAATACAAAAGTCACACTGTCTTCCGGACCCAAAGAAGCTGTAGGCTCTGATTAAACTCTTCAGGCTCAAACTCAAATAACACCTCACCTCACCACCACCTCCACCTCCCTACCCCCTACCCTATTACCAAACGCAAATTCCATCAAATCTAATCCTTAAATGAGGGAACAAGTTTAAGTACCTGATTTTAAGTCATAGAAACAATGTCGGTGGTGAGTATGTTTTACGCCGCTTTTAGCAATATTCCGGCAATATCACGGCGGGGGACACCAGAAAGGGGATTCACACATTGTACCCATGTGGGGAATCGAACCCGAGTCTTCAGCGTGACGAGCTGACACTTTAACTATTAGGCTACCCAACCGCCCCAACGTCCGTGGTCGATGCTCATGTTGTTGATCACTGGTTTGTCTGGACCAGACTCGATTATTTACAAACTGCCGCCATATTGCTGGAATATTGCTGAGTACGGCGTAAAACTTAACTCACTCACTCACTCAACGTCCGTGGTACATGATTTTTGGCATGGTAAACGACACGTTGTAAGGGATATTTTCACATTATATTTCACAAAGTGTCTACATAATACAGTAGCCCATGAGGCATTTTTGACAACATCCATAATAACAATAGCTACAACAAATCCTAAACACCCACGACCTCTAACACCCACGACACCAATATATCAACTGCAAAGGGTCAGTAGTCTGATGTGGGTATTCTGGATCTATGGGTATTCTGGATCTGCGATAGGAAAATAGTATATATTTCTCCCATGTTCATGAGGCATATTTGACAATGTCCCTCAAAACAACAGATACAACAAACCCTACTAGAATACATATACCAACCATACCAGTTACACTAATGGCAGAATGTCGGTAGTCTGGTGTGGGTATTTTGGACAGTGGTAAGAAGATAGTATGTTTCTCTGCCATGTTCACGAGGCATATCTGACAATGTCCATGAAAACAACAGAAACAACAAACCCTACCAGAATACATATACCAACCATACCAATACTGACAGCAGAGGGTCGGTGGTCTGGTATGGATATTTTGGATCTGCGGTAGGAAGATAATATATTTTTCTCCAGAAGAAGTTGCTCCAACATGGCCATCACGTCCAGTGTGTAAAGGCCTTCGACTCTGATGCAGACTTCTTGACAGGTACCTGTGGATGAAACATAACATGGTGTGTTGGTAATCTGTAACAAAACGGCCTTTTGTTGATTTTTAGAAAAGAGACACATGTTACGAAATCAGTTCTAGGGAATTTCATTGTGACAGCCCTTTGTTGGCCCTCTGTATCTGCAGAGTTTTAGAAAAGAGCCACACGTTTAGAAATCAGTAGGGAAGTTCATTGAGGTCATCACGTCTTCCATATTTGGAACACCTCGTACACAGGGATAGTTACAAATTTGTTTCTACAATGTCCAATAATAATTTGTAAAGGTACCTTCTCCATTAGTGATCAAATATTTAGAGCACTATTATTACCACAACACTTGATTTGATAAGTTTATGAATCCGATATCTTGTTCATGTAAACGTACTATAATTCAATTTACAAAATATATATTTCATACATTATCGAGGTTATATTATATTCTGTATTTTTATATTGTTGGGTATTTTCCTTTTTTACTAAATCTCTAAAACAGATGTTTTACGATGTTATGTTTCTCCAAATATCTGAATGTGAATAAGTGGTTGAACGTCGGCACAGTTAGACGTTACAAACATCTGGCGGCGATGAATACACAATGTCTTTTAGAAAGCAGTCAAAAGAAACACGTCATATTTTGGAATGTACTTTCTCAGTAAAGTTGCGTGCAGGTTCGAATCCCGGATGGGACTCAACCCCCAAAATACTAGAATATGTACTTGACTGAGAAAGTGTCATCCTAAATATAACATATGTTACATATAGTGGCGAATTCCACGGATCGGGATTTGGTTACAGTTATCGACATTTTTCTCTCTTTGTGATTGGTTTCTGTCACTGATCATAAACGATTTTAACTTTTAGTAAACTCTTTAGGCATTTCTAGTGGTCGAAATAGGTATCTCATCCTACCTTAATATTTTAGAAAAACATTCGATCCGGTCAAAACAGGAAAACACCAGTGCTCAAAATTGTCCTTTGGTAAATATGTTACGAATAACATGTCAAACACGTATGTACAGACGATGTATGTTATCTGCGAATATTGAAAATTCGGGTGGCAGTTATAAGTTGAAAGTTTTGTACCTGTGACGTGGCAGTGTTCCCATGGTGAGACGACTTCAATGGCATCTTTTCTTTTCTCAGCGGGTGATGTTGTTGGTTGTGATGTGGTAGGCATTGTCGGTGTCGTAGAAGCAGTAGTAGACGCAGCAGCAGAAGTGGTAAAGTTTGGCGTGGTAGAAGCGGCAGCAGCATTGGTAGTAGCGCTAGCAGTAGTAGTAGCAGTGGTGACAGAGGCAATACAAGTGGCAGCAGCAGGAGTGGTAGCTGTTGTTTGAACAGTTGTTGCTGATGCAGTTGTTGCTGATGCAGTTGCGGTAGTACCAGCAATTGTCACAGAAACAATACTGGCCACAGACTTGTTGTGAAACGCAGCTGGAGACATAGTAGAAGTAGTATCGGTAGTAGCAGTTGAAGTAGATGCACCTGGCGAAGTGACAGTAGTCGTGTCGCTTGAGACTGAAGTTGTCTCGGTTGTAGATACTTTGGATGCAGACCATGTCGTTGTCGAAGATGATGTGGTAGTGTCTGGATCGCAAGGGGCGTTTGCGAAATCGTCTTTGTTTTCAGGTACAAAGGGGAAAGTTGAGTTGATGTAACCTGAAGGCACGGAAATAACAAATAACACTGATCACAAATACATGATTGAATGGCGGTGTGAAATGTTTGGTGCTTTTCCAGCCACTAAAGCATCGTGTAAATATACGAGCCTGCGCAATTGATAACTAGCTTCGTTTTGGAACGATGACACATGCACAGCGACCCGTGAACATCTGGGTTAGATTTTTGTCGTACGAAGCGACGAACGGGATCGGGTGATCAGACTCGCTGACTCGACAAATACCTGAAATATTGCTGAGGGCGGCGATAAACAACAATCAAAGAAACAAACGAGCCTGGCTGAAAATACGAATAACTGGACTCGTTTTGGAAGCATAATACATACTTTGACACCTAGGATACCTCGCAGTGTGCGGGGGCGGTGGGGTAGCCTAGTGGTTAAAGCGTTGGCTCGTCACGCCGAAGGCCCGGGTTCGATTCCCCACATGGGTACAATGTGTGAAGCCAATTTCTGGTGTCCCCCGCCGTGATATTGCTGGAATATTGCTAAAAGTGGCGTAAACCCAAACTAACTCACTCACTCACTCACTCACTCACAGGTGTGCACCAATAAACGTATACCATAAAACAATTGGCTTATCGCGATGGTGTAGTCACGTAAACCAAGACTTCATACCCTTTCGTCGGAATGGAATCGTTCAACCTTGGCACGTGCGGGGTCCTTACGAAAATAACAACTTTCCATCCAATGACACACTTTTGTGACGTCACGGAACGAGTGTGTGAGTAATGTTAATCTCGACAGTCAGCAGTAGTGAGTGAGTGAGTGAGTTCAATTCTAACCCGGATCTTCACGGGTTCAGTCAGCAATACTGTTGCAATGTCGTTGAGTGTAGGTCAAATATAACAATAGATGGTATTATTAACAACGTGCAGCGCTGTTGAAGATAAAGACTTGTTTGGAAATAGTCTACCCAGTTACCACGAACTGTGATATCACTTGACGCTTTAAAATCAGTTGCTCATATTGATTATAACCACAAACAATCTATAAAAGAAAGAAATCAACTGTCCAGGTTTATCACCGCTGCCTGTAAAAACTCGACTCTGAATAACCAGTGGCTCTAGTTACGATTCCAACTGGGATAAGACGGTGCGTCACAACAACCGGATCCAGATTAGAGTGAGCATGTCAGGGTTTAAGGTGTTGGCATTATTACAGCAATATCACGACACGATAAATGGGCTTCGCACCTTGTACCCATGTTGGGAATCGGACCCGGGTCTGCAGCGTGAACGCTTTAACCGTAAGGCTATTTTGAGGCGGTGGGTAGCCTAGTAGTTAAATCGTTCGCTCGTCACGCCGAAGGCCAGGGTTCGATTCCCCACTTAGGTACAATGAGTGAAGCCCATTTCTGGTGTCCCCCGCCTTGATATTGGTGGAATATTGCTAAAAGTAAACTTCAACGTAAGGGTGTCCTACCACCTCCTATCCTTTACAAGCAGGCACAATTAACATACCACGGACTAAAGCATACCTCTATAACACTGTTTTAACGCAACTTTTCTTTTAACAGGTGATGTGGCGGGAGGCGGCCCTGGAGGAGATTTTAGATAGATGCGGCATTTGCCACTGGAATGCCTGTAAGCGACACACATGCTGCCCTCCTCGTGTCGACTCAGACAATCCTGCTTGCATTTGGAGGGCGTGGAGGACTGGAGCGCCATTTGGGTGTATTTGGAGACATCTACCCTTTTGTCATTAAACCAGCATCTCACTGCAATAATAAATAGTAAATGTTACAGACATTGTATCGAAATATCAGACAACAATTCGAGTGTACACTGACTTTTCATGAATCATAATAATTGTTTATAAAATGGTGACATCATGAGCAAATGTCTACTATGCACTGTCTATGATCTATCCACTGTCTATGATCTATCGCTCGTTGCGAACCCTGATCTCCATCACCAACTTACCCACTATTCCCTGTCAACCTGGCCCGTGAAGGTCCAGGTTAGAATATTGATCTTCAGTAATCCATGCCTGTCGTAAGAGGCGACTAACTGGATCGGGTGGTCAGGCTCGCTCAGATCGATGCTCATGCTGTTGATCACATGTCATCGGTCCCCAGTTGAGTAGATCGATGCTCATGCATGTTGATGACTGGATTGTCGTTGACTTGGTTGACAGATCATCGATTATTTACAGACCGCCGATTGATGCTCATGCTGGATATTGATTGTGAGTCCAGATTCGATTTTTACAGACCGCCGCCATATAGCTGGAATATTGCTGAGTGCGGCGTTAAACAACAAACAAACAAACAAACAAAACATACCAACATGTATGTAAACCACTAGCATCTAGAAAAATAGTTATGAAATCTCTTCATGCTAACATCTTTCAATGCGGTCTTCTATTAACCATACCGTTCTGCTGACATACTGTGTGATAAGGTTCGCCGCAGGTCATCGTTCTAAACACCCCGGATGTAGATATCCGGACACAGTGTTCGGTATCCTTGTGGTCCGGTTCGGACCCTGCCCACGGTCTGTAGGAACCGAACGCTGTGCAGTCATTCCACTGGTACTTCACCTTTTCTTCCTCTGCAGCTTGTCATACAGGCCCATCCAAATGTCGTAGTCTCTGGAGTTAAAAGTGCTAGCGACGTGAAGGGACCAATCAAATACCGTTGTGTCGAACATATGGTTCTCTCGAAGTACAAAATTTGGATTTTAATCTTTTATGTTTATATTTTTTTTGGCGGGGGGAAGGGCGTTGTTTTGTTTTGGTTTGGTTTGTTTTGTTTTTTGGTGGTTTTTTCACATATTTAATTTCCTCCTTCCCTGTTACATATGGGATATTTAATCATTCCTTATTTAGCTTGTTCCCTTGTATTCCTTTCTAAGTTACTTGTTGTGTCGAACTCTAAATGACATTTTGGTTTGCCTTTTCTCTTATTTTATCATTTCTTATTCAACTTGGTTCCTGTGTATTCCTTATTAAGTAACCATTTTATGGTTGTGTCGAACTTTGAATAACTCGAAGTATTTGGACCTCGATGTAGGCCCCTTCAACTCGAATACAAAGGTGTTTGACCGTGTGTACATCAGCCAAAATACGTCAAGTATTATGGATTCTTTCACTTTTTTACTTATTCCGAACTTCAGTTGCCTGAATACCTACTTAATGCCAAAGATGTCACCGCCATTTCATTGAAAGTTGGAATCAGAATACAAACTGCTTATTCTCAAATGAAACTAAGTGGAAACATCTGAACTGATGGCGAAACGTATATGGCAATGGAATAGTTACAAAATGTTTCATAGCATAATCGATATCTGTATATTATTAGTGGTACGTGGCTTTGAGAAAAAATCAGTTGTGGTTCGTAAGGAATTAAATATAGGTGACCATCAACAGAAAAATTACCATAATGGTAATATCTAGTAAGTGATGTTCACTTATTTCAGGAGTATATGAATCACTGATCTCAGAAAGGTTGGGGAAGAAAGGTCTTAACTCGTCTGAACTAGATCGTGAAGATCCGGGTTAGAACTGATCGTCAGTAATCCATGCTTGTCGTAAGAGGCGACTACGACACATGTCATCGTATCCCAATTGCATAGATCGATGCTCATGCTGTTGATCACTGAATTGTCTGGTCCAGACTCGATCATTTACAGACCGCAGCCATATAGCTGGAATATTGCGGCGTAAACCTAAACTCACTCACTCACTCACTCACTATGAACTAACAAGGAAACTGTTATGAAACTAATCCGATCTGTGAGTGAGAGCAATAGAGTGTAAACATATATATACTTACAATGCTCCACCGTTATTCCATTCTTTGATGTATTGTAAGAATTCGACACTGTCTCTTCCCGATTTAATTTTCAACATGCCAAACCCGGCACGGTTGCAGAGCTCTTGGACTTCATTCCAGGAACGTAGTCCTGGATACAAGACGTACACGTGGCCATGGGAAGCAACGCCCAGTACGTCCCCTGAAACAAGAAGGAGCAAATGGAAATTCCCCATACATATTATCCCGGCTACACAAAACATGCTAAATGTGTCACGGTAGTTCATTATGGAATGTTTTTGTAATATACCCAAAATGCAAAATTCCCTAATTTATTACACTCTTCGCTATGATATTGTTACTTTGCACATTAATGAGCGAGCGAGTGAGTGAGTTTAGGTTTACGCTGCACTCAGCAATATTCCAGCTATATGGCGGCGGTCTGTAAATAATCGAGTCAATCCAGTGATCAACAGCATGAACATCGACCTGCGCAATTGGGATACGATGTAAAGTATCAACCAAATCAGAGAGACTGACCACCCACAGTGTCGTTTATTTGAACAGTTTGAAGTGTTCTTGAACCACTAGCACTACACATGATCGTAACTCCCATGCACTGCCAAAACCCTCAGGACGGTCGTAGCGCTAAGATCACTTTGTGCAACGGTTCCCAGGTGTTTAATTGGGTTTAACATTGGCTGTATGGACTTTCCACAGATTAAGTCCATAAATTCAAAATAAGAAATTGTGCTAGCACCTTTTTGTTTTCATAGCACTGCCACATATTTTATTTTTATTCCCAATTACAGATGTATATAGTTTTTTAAACATGATTCATTCATAAAACTGTTGTTAATATGTCGTTGCTGGCAAACATTCCTGCAAATACGATTCCAACTTTGAGCCACAAGGTTCGGCGTTTGCAGTATTTCTGATCATAGTTTTGGGAATCATTTACAGTCAATGTTGATCTGCTGGTACCCGGAACTAAAATGTACGTTTTAGATCAAGGGTGTAGGAAATTTGTATCGGTGTTATGTTGATCTGAGCAATTATTCAAGCATGTATTGAATGCTAGTATTTGGAGATTTATTCTATGATATAATGTGTGGATATATAAAACTGTACCTTTGTATGTGAAAAACGCCAGCAAACCAAAACAGATCCTCGAAAACATCTCCTGAAACGGATTTTACATGAACGTATAGAAACAACATTATATGTGATGCTGCACACACGTATCGTTCTGGAGGTAGTCGTTGATGCAAGAGGGTGATGCAGCCGCCGATCAGAGTTGCGTCCCTTCGGCGAGCCTGGAACCTGTGATTGTTCGAATCCCTGTTTAGACCAAATGTTTGTTTGTCTGATTGTTCTGATCCTTCTTTCACAAATAAATTTGAAGCAACGACAACAACGACAGTGGCCACCCCACCCACACCCTGAGATTCATGCTTCTCAGACAAACCAATGATACATGCTGATACGGTGCAAGTCAAACAGACTACGGCCGGGACGGCGGGGTAGCCTAGTGGTTAAAGCGTTGGCTCGTGACGCCGAAGACCCGGGTTCGATTCCCCACATGGGCACAATGTGTGAAGCCCATTTCTGCTGCCCCTGCCACGATATTGATGGAACATTGCTACAAGCGGCGTAAAACCATACTCACTCACATACTACGGTCTGTTAGTAAAGATGGCTGATGAATTTTAAGCACCGAACACGTAGGAGGTGGCCCAACATGCTACAATTCCGTATAATAATCACAGAAGTGATTGGGTGAGTGAGTTTAGTTTTACGCCACACTCAGCAATATTACAGCTATATTGCAGCAGTCTGTAAATAATCGAGTCTGGACCAGACAATCCAGTGATCAACAGCACGAGCATCGATCTGCGCAATTGGGATACGATGACATATGTCAACCAAGTCAGCGAGCCTGACCACCCGATCCCGTTAGTCGCCTCTTACGACAAGCAAAGTCGCCTTTTGTGGCAAGCATGGGTTGCTGAAGAACTATTCTACCCCGGATCAAGAAGTGAGTGAGTATGTTTTTACGCCGTTTTAGCAATATTCCAGCAATACCAAGGTGTGGGACACCAGAAACGTGTTTAACACATTGTACTCATGTGCGGAATCGACCCTGGGTCTGACAAGCTAACGCTTGTACCACTAGGTCACCCCACCACCCCGATGACCACAGACAACAAACCCCAAACATCACATGAAAAATATATGCAGCAGGTAGGCATTCATACTTACCCTTATATCCCGAGCTTCGTCTGTACAACTCCACAGTCACGAACCCAACTGAATAATGTCACGGAACAGCAGTATATGTGATTGTCTTCATCAATGTTTGACATCATTATTCTAAATTAAAGGCTAACACATTGTAGTCAAACACTGCAACCGTCAATGAACTGGGCGATATTTTTGCTACCTGCCACACAGACTCATAAAACGTCAAAATAATCCCGTCCAGCAGTAATGAATGCCAATAGAATTCAACTCTTTGTCAGTCATATGAAATCCCTTAGTAATCAGCGGTGTTATGGCCGCAAATATATCGTCATGGACAGGTGCTGATTAATCAGCCTTCGTGGTGGGTAAATTAATAATCTGGGAATATATTGGTTTCTGATATCACATTAACTCTTTCAAGTATCATTTGATTCGAGACACCCGAGAATTCGACACATCCAGTTCAAAACATCCGGGTTAAAATAATGATAAATATGGTAAATCTGATATCACATTAATTCTTTCAAGTATCATTTGATTCGAACACCCGGGAATTCGACACATCCAGTTCAAAACATCCAGGTTAAAATAATGATAAATATGGTAAGGGCTTGCTGGTACTTGACAGGTGATTTCACGCATCCGAGACATTGGGTTTCCACTTTATTG